TATTCCTATTTAGGAAATGTTTATTATATTTTAGAATTACTATTAAAAGTTATTTTTTAAGGACACTCATTCTTTCTCTTGTTTACTTCTCCAATCTTTGGGTTAACCCCAGTACAAGTATTCCTCAGGTTTGTTTGTCTTTTCATATTTTATTTACTTCTATGTACTAGTTAAGAAACATTAAATTAGAAATTAATTACCAAATAAAAAAAAATGACTTGCGCACTATTCCAGATCCCTATGCACATTTAAATAACTGGAAGATTTTAAGTATCACTCCAGTGACCATTACAGTATAAGCTCAACTGCCACATTAAGAATTCACCTTCCTGCTTTCAGCCAAAATGTCAAATATCTCATGAGACTGAGAGTGATATTTTATAAAATTTTCTAAATCCTACATATTCATTAACTCTTAATAGGGGACACATGGGGTAGGCAGCAGCAAAAGCAAATACACCTGATAGCCCTGCGCTCAAACTGAACTACTCCTGGGTGGCAGCAATTGTGACTTTCATGCCCCAGAGATTAAACTCAGCAACTCCCCTCTTTAAGACCTTTAAACCAGAGTCCAGCGCTGTCTGCATATTCCACCATCAGCCTCCGTGCAGACCATCACTCCCCAAGCCAAATATGCAGATCTTACTTTTCCAATAACTGCTTAGCTGGCAAGGAACGCTGCCACCCCAATGGCAGCCCAATCAATTGGAGTCACCATTGCACCCCCTTGCAGTGAGCGCCCGCTCAAAACCAGACAGATTGCAATCCCAACTGAAAAATATGTATTTATTTATAAATATGTTACCAGGAAGGATACATTGAGATTGCTCTCCTTTTAAAGTATGTCCCAGGCCCACAATCACTGCATTGTACAATAGGGTACAATATAATATTTTTAAAAATTATATATATACACACATATATAATAAATATAGTCAACGATAATTACAGGTGCATTATCCAAATTTAAATGATCGGCATCCGCCATCATGAGATGAGCATTATTGCCATCCAATTCCCTATGCCTAATCGTATGGCCCCCAATCCACCTAGCAAAACATGGTATGGTCATGTTTAATTTCCATCTATGATGCTCCATGGCTTTTGCATTAGTTTGCCACAACCACACTGGGCAAGGAACAACCTCTGACCAAATGAGTGCAAAACCCATAGAGATGGCACAACACCAGACCAGATCATGTTTGATCAAATGATTGAGGTCAATGGAGCAAATGCACCCTATGTCACTGCAAGAGGCATAAGCCAACAGGATCTGATACAAACCTACTTAAAGGATCACTATAGACACCCAGGCCACTTCAGCTCAATGAAGTGGTCTGGGTGCCAGGTCCCTCTAGTTTTAACCCTGTAGCTGAAAACATAGCAGTTTCAGAGACACTGCTATATTTACATTGTAGGGTTATCCAGCCTCTAGTAGCTGTCTCCCTGATTCTCCGTGTGAAAATTGCATTGAACTCACACAGTGTGAGTTCAGATCCCCATAGGAAAGCATTGAGTAATGCTTACAATCTAGTGACTGCCATCAATAACTTCTTCCTTTCTGGATATTCTAACTGTGCTACTCTATGTATGGTTTCTTTTGACACTTGTAGATTTTTTTCTGTATTGTGAAGTTTTAGAAGAACAATGAGGAGTTCTGTTTTATCCACAGTGTCATAGTGGAGGGATAAGTCAAATGGCAAATGATTTGAATGAACTAGAAAAATGGTCAGAGCTGTGGCAACTGACATTTTATGTGGATAAGTGCAAGATAATGCATCTTGGATGTAAAAATCCAAGGGCAGAGTACAGAATATTTGATAGTCCTAACCTCAACACCTGAGAAAAGGGATTTAGTGGTAATTATTTCTGATGACTTAAGGTAGGCACACAATGTAATAGAGCAGCAGGAAATGCTAGCAGAATGCTTGGGAGAGGTATTAGCAGTAGAAAGAAGGAAGTTTGGACCCAAAGTTCCAAACACTGAAGAACCAATTGCCTGATCAACGCCAACACTGGAGGTGATCCCAACATAGTTTGATTGATAACATGCATGTAATGGTGTGTACAAGTGGTGTTTAGAAAGGCTTAATTTGCATCTGTCAGCCCAGTGCTGCACTGTAGCTAATTAGTACCTGCAGTAGCAGTTACTGGGGCTTAAAAGAGGTACACCTAGCCAGGCACCAGAGGTTAATTTAGTAATTATCATGCAGGAAAGTGGCAGGAGCTTGGGTTTATGTTTAGACTCCTTTATTTTATTTTATGTTTAGTGATAAGTGGATAGCAGTGAAATTGTTGTCATAAGTTACTGTGTATTTAACAGAGTTGTTGAATTTGCTTTGTATAACAAGAGGTGCCCAGTAACCCTGTACCGTGAGGAAATAAAGGAACTACAGAAAATACTTACACTACTGGCGTTTCATCCAACAAGCTCCACTCGGTTACAATGTACTATACTCATGTTATTGGTGTGAAAAAGAACACATTGTTTCTACAGCTCATTGCGCCACAGCTCCACAGACACGACAACCAGAAACAATTCAAGAAACATCATGTTTCATAAAGACCTGAACTCTCCATGTCATTCGGCCAGGCCTCGGTGGATCACAGACCATGGAAGTATGCACCAATATCCAGAGAACCCGACGCATAAGTAAAGAAGTACGGGACTGAATTACTCACCTCTGCCTCCTGCCAACAAGTATGTCTATTGTTCAGCACTGTAAAATATGTTGCCGCTATATAAGTAATTGTAATTGTAAGTTTTAAGAAACAAACTCCAAACGCCCAGGTTATTACACAAATGCTTGTTAATTCTGATTTAATGAAACGTCTGATGCATACACACTATCGCCATGGACAGCTGCCGGCATAAAGCTCTACCCAGGAACATAACCCAACAAGCGAAAGAGACTTAAAGGTTGAAGTTAGTGATTTGAATCAACACAGCTGATCTCCTGGTAAATTCTCAAGAAAGACAAACATGTCTCTGTACCCTCCATCTTATCCGCAGCTAACAGAACTCAACAACAACTGACACTCCCCTTTATCCCCTGTTCTTATGAAAAGAAAGTAATAAGTAGTGAAGAAAGTGTTACCTTGTGACCTAACTGACACAACCAACTCCAAAGAATGTGCTAAACAAATTAAAACAAAGATCACTATCTGGTACAGCCCATAGGCAGTTACATAGACATAGGCAGTCGTAGGCAGTCGTAGAAGTAACTGCCCTGAAAGAAACAATCAAGCAGATGGAAACAATCCGGATGGGCAAGTAGAAAATTAAATGCAGACTCAATGTCTGACTTTGCCAATGGCACCAGTTTTCCAGCCATCCGAACCAACTTCAATACTGAAGGTATAGTGAACATGATTGTTCTTCTTAGTTATACAATCATTCACCAAATTCCCACCTGGGTACAATAAAGATGGATGAACTGAAAGGTGTCAGGCTTACTTTTGGGAATCAACAAAGAGACATGCAATTTTGCAAGAGGAAGGCAATTGGAGGGGCCTAGCATGCATCCCTGTGCAACCTCCTTAGCCAGGACTGTACAAAATACTGCAAGGTTGTATAAGTATAGTAGAGAAGCTGCGAATATACATTCTGGGGGCATGATGGGAGTGATTTCTTGCTCTTGCTCACTATTCATTTAAAATTGTTTAATCTAAACAATGCATCAGCTTTCACGTTGACTTGATTTCAGTTACATTATTGCGTAATTGAAAAGAGATAGAAGCAAAGATCATCTTGCTTGTCTGCAATGGGCCACTTGACTGGTTTTGCCCTCCAGGCCTTAGGCTGCCAGCCCTTCCCTGAATGTTTGGATTATGCATAGCCAACAAGAGAAACCAGAGTATAATTGGACAAGAAAGAGAAGTGATTTCTTGAAAAATAATGGTTTCTTTGTATATATAAAATAGTAATTATAAATAAAAAAGATGTGATTTCTAGTGCTTGATCAAAGTCTATGTGACAGCTCGGACTTCCCAAACCAGACTCTCTTCCTTCTGGCTGTAGGTAGATATAGAAAAAGAATGCAGAGAAGCAGCACCTTCACAAGTGTCCTAATCTTCTAGTAGCTGATTTGAAGCACCAGAAGATTAGGACACTTGTGAATGTGCTGCTTCTCTACATTCTCTTTCTATTAAATAGTAATTGCCTATAGAAATAGTCAAAGAACAGGTTTCATGGGTTATAATGGATTTTTTGAGGGGTCCAAAGGTGTGGACCCCTTCTTAAGAGCTATGTTGTGAAGAGCAATAAAATTGTCACCAGTGACATTTTTATGCAGCTCCAGAATCTATGAGAGCCTTACAAATAATTTTGTGAGTATCCCAAGAGGAGTTAATGGACAGGAAGAATTTATTGTGAGGCATAGCAGGGGACATATGCATAACACCTAAGGCCGGTCCCCAAACTGTTGTTTGGTGCATGAGTTTTCCAGACAAGCCGGACAAGATCTGTGTAGGTGTCCCTTTTTTTCCACAGTAAAGGCATAAACCCTCACAACGATGGAATTGTGTGATGGAGCTCTCGTACTCTAACTGAGTACCTCCACCAGGTTGTCTTCCTAGCTGCCACAGGGGGCCCTGAAATGCTTCAGCCCCAGTTGCCAAAGTTTGACTGGGGTCTCTCCGGAACTCTTCTTCCAGGCAAGTATTGTCCCTGCTGCCTCTTCAGTTCCTCTCCCAAGCAGGTATCAACACTTCTGCTTATAGTGATTCCAGCTCCTCTAGCTATTGCATTTATAAAGGTGGTTGTGGCTCTCAGGTCTAGCTCTTTTGCACTTGTCCTGAGCTAGCTACACGGACTATGTAACCAGCCAGCAGGTCCAAAGACTCTGCCCCTTTGATTTCTGAACTAATCCACACTGGACACACAGTTGCAAAAGGAACTAACATACAATTCTTTATTTTTTTTAACAAGGACAAGCCTTTGGGTACTAGTCCTTACATATGTGGTGACAAACGTTTAAAATACAAATATATAGAACATTGGCGAACGAGCAATTATAATTAATACAACATAATACAAATAACATTGTTAAACACACTAAAACTAATAATATATGCATTTAACTGCTTATTTGGCTGCCTTCATTTGCATATCAGCATTATACAAATGTACAAACTTCCACTCAGCCAGCAGAGGGCGCAGCAGAGTAATCAAGTAACAATGAATAATTTGTTTTTCAATTGCTACCATCACAAGCCACTTTCAGGGGCTCTTGGGACCAAGTCTATAGTCTATGGGCAAGAGGCTGGCCTTCAAGCCTCTCCAAAAGGCCATGGCATGGGCGCTTCTGTCATAAATTGCTTCTCGGCTTCTTATAGTTTAATCACTCTGAATTGCATAGGTTCAATTTTGGGTGCAACTGCATGAGTAGAAGGAGTTAAACAAAATGTTTGATGAATAGATGGACATTTAGGTCTATTTTTTATGTTTTCTCTGTCCCTATGTCTGTTGTCAATAAGAAAGGTGTATGAGATATAATCTTCCAAACACTCAGGTAAATTTCATCTAGAAGTGTATCAGAAAGACCTTTAGAAAAAGCAGAATCTAAGCAACTATTGGGTAAGGCAATGTGCCATGCACTGATTGCATGCTAAAAGGGCATAGGGTGACATGGCATCGTCCGTAACAGCCATAAATTTCCATCCTGCCTGATAAAATCCATGCCAGGACAGGACATCCTCTGACAGAACTGCTTGTCATAATGAAACCAGCTCTGAACACTATACATTTAGTAGACACACCATGTAAGATCAAAATAGCCTAAAAGGGGAGGACCTTCTTTTCGGGAAAATGGCTGGTCAAAATGCTAACAAAAATAGCACACCTCTGTAACCAATCTCCAAAAGTCCTGCTTAATTTTGTCCCCTTCAACCACCTCACCCCTGTGCAGATGATCTACTGTCTGGAGCTACCAGAGAGACAAAATCCACGCCAAAACTGTTCTAAGCAACTGGGCTAACTCTTGATGACTTAACTGCCTTGGCTGACTAGGCATAGCAGCTGTGGCATCAAAAGCCCAATCATACTTACGAGAAGTGACAGCAGGTGGCAACAGGCTCTGAGACCTCTGCTGCAACTCGCCTCCATCTTGGGACATAATGAGACCTTCGTGCCGACTATGCCCAGCCCTCAAAATACTTAATGGAAACTGGTGCACCGCCATATCTGGCTAAAGTGCTGCCTCTCTTCTTCCCTGACTCCTCGGATGGCTGGGAGACAGCCATGAAGGAGGCAATGACTGCTGGGCCCTCCTTCCATGATGTATGTGATTGACAACTTACTCATCTGAACCTCCATTGCATCTCACAAGCACCACTTCTTTCACATTTAGGGAATCCTCCCCATGGGATGACTGGTAAGTAGCCAGTATTTCCAGCAATGCCTCTTTAGTAACTGGCCCCGCCTTATAAATACACATACACACTCACTGACAGACACACACAGTCACTAGCAGACACACACATTCACAAACAGGCACACACATAGTAACACACTTCCTAACAGACACACACACACTCACTAACACACACACACTCACTAACAGACACACACACTCACTAACAGAAACACACACACATTAACACACTCACATTTTTTTTTCAATCCCCCCAGCCTCCTTACCTTTGGGAATGCTGGGGTAGATTAGCATGACGTCATATTCCGGCTCCGGCATCACTGCGGTGCACATGAGGGAGCTGAACAGGAGGATCAGTGCTCCCTAGCCGCCCAACAGGAAAGCTCCGCCGCTGCTGCCAGCCTGGGGGGCTCTGAGGTGGTCAGGCACCCCAAGACAAGAGCCTAGCAAGGCATTTGCCAAGGCAATTGGGGAGCGGCTTTTTTTTTGCCGCCCCCCCATAAAGTGCTGACCAAGGCAAATGCCTTGTTTGCCTCGGGGTAAACACACCCCTGGCTTGCCCTCACAAGCCTAAAGACAGGGGAAGTGAAGATTCAGTCGGCCCAACTCAACCTTCCTGCTGCAGATTGGTAAGCCACACCCATTAAATACTATTTTATGTCGCAAAGCAAATAGAACAAAGTAACACTTTTTAAATTCTGGCCAATCCCTCTCCCTAGCAGTGTGTGTAGGTGTTATTCGCCCCCTTCCTAAGATGTCCAGGGGGTTGAATTACTTTAGTCTTTTTTTTATTTTTTTAATGTGCATAGTATAGTTAAAATATCATCTTGTACATGGCAAATGCAATAGAAAGAGGTAATAGCTAGTAAACAATGTAGATATAGATATACTGCACATATTTGAGAGAGATAAACAAATCAACACAGTGCTAGGCTTGACAACAGAATACTAGTAGCTGGTATAGGCATATGCACTGAGTCTTAAAGATTGAAGAAAAGAGAGTCAAGTAACAAGAGATGTACAAAAAATAAAATAAATCAAAGCAGGTAAACACAAGCGTAGTAAAACTGAGTAGAAGCCACTGATTTCTGCATGGAATTCTGCATAGCCCTAGGGCTCAGCTCCAGGAGACTGGTAGTGATGGCGTGCAGGTAAATCCGTTGGATCCTCTGGGCTCAGCCCATTCCCTCCTCCTGCTTGGGTACATTAACATCAGAGTTCCAGCATGAAGGTAAGTCTGGTGGGTGCCACTCTGCCAGCCCCAGGCACAACATGAGCATTCAACCTGTGCCCTCGTTCCGGCACTATTTTGGTCCAACAACAGGGGTCCTGGATATGATGTCCTGCCCATGCTTAGGTCAGTGGTTCGAGAGATAACCTCTGGGGGCTCAAAGCCCAGGAAGGCAGGTGTGGGGACCAATCACCCGGTACAGAGGCTCGGCTTGTGGGACAGAAGTCCAATAATAGGAGCTGTAACCAGCAGACACCATAGCTCAAAAATGCATCTGTGAACAGGCAGCTTTGCCCATTGTAGGCAGCATAGTCACCGTTTTTTGGTGTCTGACTGCTGGATGGGCTTGCAGGTAATCTGTACTGGTGTCGGCACCCTCCAATGGGGACCAGGATAACCCCCACCGCTCCATAGGGAGGGAGATCGGGGGCCTGTGAGGAGTGTCAAAGAGCTGCTACATGGCAGCCTGGCTGATGAGCAGGGCAGCGGCCGTCTGTCCTTCTCCTCTCCCGAGTAGGCCACAGGCTCCAAAGTTTCAGAACTCCCATATGGGCCTCAAAACTCAGAGTCCACAGTAGCACCAACAACTACTCTCACACTGTCACGGTTCCCACTGTAATTTCTGGAGTGCCAGGCATGACAGCTTTGCATTCCTGGGGCTGTCATGTTACCTCTAAGCCACTATTCAGCTTGTCAGTATCTAGCCCTGTCTTGTATCCAGCACTGGGGGCTGAACATGTATTGGAATTACTCCTGTTACTCCTGGTACACCTGATATTGATGGTCTCATTAGCCAGGTATATAACCCTGCCTCTCCCAGAAGGCAGGGTCAGTTCCTTGACTCTGGTGATCATACTGCTGTTTTGTGTTCTCCAGTTTACTCTTGACCATGGCTTGTTGTTTTGTTTATTCTGATTTATGGCATCCTCTGACCTTTGGCTTCCCACATCGATTCTCCTGCTTTATCCGTTCCTGTACTGCGACTTGGGGAATTATCCTGCACAGCCCCCGTGCACCGACTCACAGGCCAGGTGAATTCTTAACTGACCACCTCGGCCTGTGTTTACTTGCAAGGGTGAGCATATATCTCTGCCTGCTGCACTCCCAACTCAGGTAAGTTTAGTGAGTTCACACAGCATAGATGGTAGCAGTAATCCCTGAATTTCTGCATAAAGGGGACAGATTCTGCAGGCCCCCTCCCCCTACTTTAGTCTTAAAGTGTTTTGGTAAATATGTGTCACGTTATTTAGCCTAAGCAACATAACTACTGCCCTGGTACTGCATTGCACAATTTTGTAGTGATTAGACAAAAACCAGAGGGCCTGAGGACTTGTGACCTGACACTTTTTATCTTGGGAAGAAGTCATCAATTTTTCTATTGTCCTTTACATTCTGATTGAGTAGAGACTTTCATCTAATCTACACAATTTCCTCATTGCCTAATATTACTTGATAATGGAACGGTTACATTTGCCCTGGTTACTTTTTCTACAGGCACTGTTACACGTTACAAGCCAATGCAAATAAAGGTAAATCATTTGTCATTTTCTGATTTTACCATTTTTTTAGGAAATTATTGTTAGGTGTAACATTACATATTGTTAATATTATGACTGCTTTATGAAAAATATATTTTAGTATATAAAAAGGGTTATTTGGAAGTTTATAACAGTAAAAATAACATTCATCAGCTTTTATCGAAAATAGGTTTTGTTTTTTTTAAAGAAAATACATGCAATATTAGTATATTTTTAAAATCCATATTGTATATTATATAAGTACTCTGAGAGCTCCAGGTCTCACATGGCGTGAACCTCTCCAACTTAAAAGGTTTTCTACTATGTCCTCTTTTTCTTCCTTAGCTAGGCTTTTGTCTCTACTCTTGTTACACTCCATTCTCCCAATCTTCACATCCCCCCTACACAATTTGCCCCCTTATATACTCTCCATTTTGTCATTATGTTCTACTCTCTCTGGAACTGCCTGCTATTAACAGGTATTACCATGCTGTCGCCCTGTTTTTTTGTTGTGGTTACTTACGTTCCTGTTTTTTGTTGTGGTTACTTATTGTACTTATTGTATTGGATGTTTAACATTTGAATAAAAAAAATTATAATTAAATAATACAACAATACAACATGCAAGTTTTGTGAACAGTATAAACCATAGGTAAAGTAGTAGTCACAACATCTGATACTAAGAGATTTATTCACTGCAAATTGTGATAATTCGATGGCCAACTTATAAAATACAGGGGGGGGAAAGAATTCAACTAAGCTGTATTGGTCCAAATGTTTAGATCATAATCCCTCTACGTGTTCCTATGTCAGCTTTTAAAAGAGAGGTATCATGAGGACACTGCTGCAGAGAAAGATTTATATGCATTACTGTTCCTGCCGAGGAAAAACTGGTTAATTGCATCCAAGTGGTCCCATTACATCTCTAACCCCTCGACTCATGTCTTTCAGGTTTCAGCTTTGAAGACTGAATGTATGTTTCGTTACAGTATAATTAAGGTAATTTTTTTGAACATTAATCAAATTATACCGGCACTGTAATTATTAATCTGTAGTTTCCAGATTATAAAATGTTACGAGACGCTAAAATTTTCCATGCATGAATGAACCAGTGCCAGCCTGTCTTTTATTCTTTGGCTTTGTGTGTATTATTTTAGTGTTCAGTATAGAAAATTTTAATAATTCAAGAGATGATGCGCTATGTATATATCTTACAAAATCTTGCACTCAGGGACTTGAAATTGTAATGCTTTGTGCTCCTATTCGGCAACTAAATGGTCAAACGAAATAATGGTATCCCGGGAACTTCCTTGTGAAATACAGGCTGGCTGTAGAGGTAAGTTTCGTTAAAACGTTTATCATCCAAGAGTAGGGTCAAAAGAAGCTAGAGGGATTCTAGCGAAACGCGTCATAATTGACATAACTAGGAAGCAGAAGTTCTATGAAATGTAACTCCGCAAAGCTTTAAAAAGACTGCTTGGTTGACGTGCACTACAATATTTTCTATGCGAGATTGTGAGTACCCGGCGGGGAAACTCATTACAGATTTTAGTAAGCTGCTTTTTATCTTCTTTATGTTAATAAAGTGTGTTAATATTGCACCATTGGGTCCTGGTGTCTCTTATCTCCCGCATTGATAGATATTTAAGCCAAGACACTGTGTTGCTGGAGCTGTGTGCAAAGTGTGGGATATATCTCTCTCAAGTGGAGTCATAAAATCCAAGAGCCAGGGGATTTTGTAAATGTGAACACCAAATATAAATGTGAGTGTGAAAACCAGATGTAAATTATTTTTACCATTTTATTAATATTTAAGATTGGATGTTCTGCACTGATATGTATCTTTATAACTATTTACAGGACTGATTTTGAGGAGACGGTTTGTTAAGTACTATTTCTGGCACACCGCTGTTTATTTCTGATTTTTCTTGGTCACTATATGTCACATGTTGGTGACGTGCTGCAGAATTTTATACACACAAAAAAAAGTATGATTGATTTTTGAGGTATACACTTTTATACACACACACACACACACACCTTATGTATCTAAGCGCTTTCCTATTTTGGTCAAATATATTGTTTGTTTGATCACAGAGAACTAATTAATAGGGTCGGCATAACACGAACAATCGATTAGTTCTTACAGACAGTGATTAACGATTTGATTCGTTCAGCACAGGATTTGTGCACAAGTCTATATTAGATGCAGACACTGGGTTGTGTCAGCACTTTCAGTAAATATAAGTTTTGCCCTGTGTACATCTTCTTGAAATAGAATTTTGCTGGACCAAGCTTGGTAACAATGACCTACTAACTGATTAAATGTTCAAAAGACAGGTACATCCTGCTTCCCGCAATTCAGGTCGTTTATGCGACATCTTCCCACTTGGGCCTCAAGTTCTACGGTTATCAAATAAAAGAATGACACAAAAGGCAGACTTCAACTTTCTAAAAAGCATTTAGCAATTTATGAACAGGAAGCCACTTAAATAGCAAATATAAACAGACGTATTTCATTATTTATGTACATGAGACAGACAACCTGTTTTGTGAAAGGCAAATATACAGTGCATTAAAGAGTGTGATGTGTTGGGACCCAGTGGAGTTGTTATAAAACACAAGTAAAGATGACAGATCACTCAGTCCCATATATTGTATTGCAGTAACAGTCAGTCTTTAGAGAACTACAATTACCATGACTCCATGGGATATTGTCCCTAGCATAAAAATGGTACTTTAATAAGAGCTGGAGAAAGGGAAGGTTGTGCCTTGTGTTTTACTAGATATCATTAGGTTTAACCTGGGGTCCACACAATAGAATGTAGCGATAGTTGCAAATAGTGCAACTTCAGGAAACAAATTTAGGATAATTTGTGTGTTTATATAAATATATATACTCATCACAGATCATACTTCTAAATGTGTCCTTTAAGGTAAAATATACATTACTAATCCAACAATGAAATGTTGCAATACCATTTATAAATCTCTCAAGTGCGATAAAAAATAATTTGAAAAATATTTGTACCACCCATAATCTGTTTGTTTGGGCACCTTGCACCTGTATTTTATGGAAGGTAAACAAGGTTAATTTGACAGAAATAATGTTGGTCTGTATACATCTATATAAATATATATTATATACATTGTAGAATACGTGTGTGTTTCCATTTGTCTGTACATCATTGTACATCAGCTATCCTTTGTAAGATAGACATTTACTAAGAGCAGCATTAACTGAGATTTCCAGTAAAGCTATTCTAAGAGAGTAAACATGTTAAATCTAAAATGAATATAAATAAACATAATAATTTCCTACTTCTATTTTTGCACATATGTGACGCACATAAACAATAACCTTGGGCTAAATATTTTCTATTTCACATGCAACGGTATACTTATTGCTGCTAGTTCAAAGCCTTAAGCCAGAGGAGCCCATGGGACAGGTATCGTTTGTACCCCAAGTTGGCTGATGCCTGTTTATTAAAACAGTCTCAGAACGCTTCCTATGCTGTTAAATCCCAAGGTTTGGTGAAAGCCTTCAAGTGTTGCAGGATATAATCACCACTCAAATTAGTTTACATACTAAAATAAACCATATTTATCAGAATATAAGTCTTCATTGAAGATCACTTATTCTTTGTAATATTCCTTTATCAAGAACATGTTTCATTCTAGAGGAAGTAGTCTTATATTCTGTTAAATAGGTGTCTGCAAATCAACCATCATGTTGTTACCTTAAAATCAAATATTAAACTACAATTGTGTAACAGTCCCATTTAGGTAAAAAACACTAAAATAAATAAATATTTTCTAGAAAAAAAAAAAAGCATGAATGTAGTGGTGCTTATTAAAATCGGTTATGGCTTTTGAGAATGTTCAAGTCAGAATGCAAACGTCTGATAAAAAGGGGCAATCGGCTCTGCAGTTCCTATCATTCTCAGCCAGCCACTGTGCACTGCAAGTCCACAGATAGATGGTTTCCTGCAGGTTGGCCAATCTACATTATTAAAAAAAAATGATTAAAGGACCTCGAGGTCAGATGTAATCAGCCTTTCATTAGAGGTTGTTGAAAGATAAATAAAAGCTTTGCGTTTTCTAGGTATCTGCATAATTTTAAGGCTTGCTTGTCAGAAACACTTACTGTTATGCAGTTTCTCAGTAGAAATGAGTAGCAGGATTTCTGTGAGCACAAGAAAACATTACAAAGCTTACGTCTCCAGTTTCATTTCAAGTAACACTAGCCAATAATGTCAGAATAAAAAAAAAAGCTGTTGTTCTTCTTGCTGCGCGCAGAGATGGTGAATAGTAATTACTCATCGCTGACCTCTTGTTTTTTAACAAATGGGATTTAAAAATTATTTAAGGCTGGAAATAAAGTTTAGTTAAAAGAAACCATAATTTTTTTTAAAAAACATAGTTTCCAGAGGGATTTTCATTGTCTTCCTCCTGGAAAATAAAAAGTGAGTTTGAAGGTATATTGTAATGCCAATGCAAAATCGTAAGGCTGTTAAGGACCAGGAGAACACTAATCCATTTAAAGCATGACATGCCCAGCATGTTATATGTCCTTAAGGGGTTTGCACCATTAATTTCTACAAATGAATTCCTGGTTTCACCCATAGCTACAGATATGGAATTTGAAAAACACCAAAAGAAAAAAAATACTTTGCATAGGAACAAAAAGTACTAACTGCGTTGAAATATTGCAGAATAAATACCTATTCAAACCATGGAACAGAGCCCAATGCCATCTCTGCATGTTAACATCAGTTATATGTCCCTACTGAAGCCTCTTCCATCAGCCACCTTGAAAAACTACAGATCACCGATATTAAAGTTAGCTATAAATTATTTCGGAAACCCCCAGCTATCCTACAAAAATATTAAAATATACACCCATGGTACACATTTCCCTGGTACAGTTTTCGCATAAGGATGAAATATTTGCTGGCTTCCATTATTCCTCGGTGCCAAATCATTGATGATGTGCTCTGTCTCCAGGGAGAGTGGATCAGTGAGACGCAGGATCCAGTCTACTAGAGTCTATGCTAAAGATGGACATGGTAAATGTCTGCAAGCAGTCTCTGTGCAGGAATGCACGCAAGCAAGTTGTTAACGTTGGCCTGCTTCCCGAATCCTACAGGCCACTGCTGTGATCAGAGCAGCTCCCTTCCCACTACCATCTTCAGATTGGAGAAAGGTCACCTGGCATTTAGGGGACAGCTCCTTTACTGTCTGGCGCATGATGGTGGAAAAACTGGAAAACAAATTGGAAAATGCATTATTTCAATTTGTAAATAACTACACACATATAAATAGGCACAACTCGCTAACATGAGGGTATCTTGCTACACCGGAAGTGATAAAGGTAGAAATGTTTTCTAAATGAATCACGTGACCCTTCAGTTAAGGGGTTAATCTGAGCACTTCATTGATTTGGATCACCCCCACCCATGGCACCCATGTCTTCCCCTCAGCTCATCCTCCCTTTAAGGGGGATGGACATCAGGCAAGGAGGATCGGGCTGAGGTGGAACTTGTCCTTGGCAAGGGATAAAGAAGTACATTTGTTTTTTGGGGGGTGGGGGTGGGGGTGGCATTTTTGGCAAACAGCACACAAGAGTATACTACAATCAAAAACACTGTTTTATGAAAAACACTGTTTTTTGGTTGGACTAACCTTTAAAATAACATCAACACATATGAAGAAGATCATATTTCTTCTTATTTGGGGGCTTTGGTTAAATAATTTAGCCAGGGCATAATTAAACTTAGAACAATACTCTCTCAAGAGCAGAACATACTTTCATCAGAACCCTTTGGAAAATATGTGGTATATATCTTCACTACTTCTACAAATTAACACAATTAACCAGCTGGAGCCAGACATTGGGTCTGGAATATGAACTGTCTAGACATTTATTTAATTACGTTTTGAAGTCATACATGGTGTGATAGATCATAGTAATCAGGATAGGGTAGAACACATAACAAATACTATTTGCTACAGAATTGTATTGATCTATGAAATACATTGCAAGTTATGTAAAAAACAGGCAACTACAACACCATTTGTTATCTACTGTGACTTTTATATAATAAAGTAATTAGAATTGATACATTGTTTTTTGAGTGATTGGTTTGCCCAGAGTTGAGTAAAACAGAACTTTCCTTTCGAAAGCTTCATATGTCGGATAAATTTTAATTTGGTCATATGATTCCTAACAAAATTTATAAGATTTATTGTACTACAAAGTTTAATAAGTGACCAGCTTAAAAACTATAATTAAAAGCTGGAGAACACTCATGTAAATAAAGCAGTGAATGGCCAAGAAAGGTCTAGTAGCTTACTGTGGGTGAAGTTTGTAGAGTGTCCCGTCCACTCCTACTGTGACTTTCAAGAAGTCCAGCCCTCGGTTCTCCCTGATCTTGTCCACCACAGCTGCAACACCAGCCCCACAGACCTGTGCTGCTCTACGTGCTACAACTGTACACACTTCCTTTACTATGATACTGTCATCACATGTGCTGTTCAAGCCAAGATGTTGTAGGATGGAGCGGACCTGCAGCAATGCCAGGCGGTCACTGGAATGAAAAAAGAAAAAACATTTTTCAGTGTGGGACAACATCACACCAATGGGTATATTCACATGGAGAAAAGCACTACATCACATACTAAGTTTGTCTAAAATACTAACTTTCCACCTGCTGTTTAGGATAGAATTATTAATAATAATGTGATATTTTTAGTTAAAGTCATAGCTAATGTCAAGAGGAAAAAACGCATTCAATTCTTAGAAGCTACAGGATGCTTTGACTGTAGCAGGACCAACAAGACCACGAAATCTTGAACAGAGTCAGGAATTACTTTCCCACTCATATTTTTTTAGCCAGTGAAAAACTAACTAACTAAATACTTGACTGTGATTCACCTGACAATAAGGTGTGTGATTTGTGCAGTCGACCAATTAATCACTTGATGAATACCTTTTTTGTCTAAGTTGGCCTATAGTTACAATCTCAAACATCTGCTGCATTTTGAGACTTTTTACTCACCTTTCTATCTGAGACAGGAACTTGGTTTCAAAGATGCCCCTCGTCTTGAGCCTCTCTGAAATCTTTCCTCTGAAGAGAAACCCTCGTTTGGTGAAATCTATCAATATATTTCTGACGATCTCCCCAAGATACATGCCACTAATCATCTTCTCAAACCTACAGCCAGAAAAAATAAATATTTTCATTAAATGGGTGAGCTTATGAACTGATATATGTTCTGCCACTATTATTCTCTAAGGTTCCATGTGTTGATGATAATGCAAGCAGCATGCATGTACTAATTTTACTGCTTCTACATCACATGTATAATGAAATATGAATGAGAATGGAATAGAATTCAATGTAGTGCTCAGAAAAACTAATTAAGAGTTCATGCAAATATTGTCAAGTCATACACAATCCATCCTTTCTTTAAAAATGCAACAAAATCTCTCCCGTGAGTCACCAACAGACACTGCTTCACCACAATTAAATCTTGCAGTGTCAGTTATCTGCTGGGCAAATATGGTTCAGGCCCTTCTACTCTCCTACACATAGCTAACTTGTTTCCCATAGGCAGTAACTGACACATACCTCTGCTTGCCAGGATTAAGAGACAATTCATCCACAGCTTTGTCAAACTCTGTACGGAATGGTTCCAGACAGTCATTGTCTCCAAATGCCCCCCACTCCATGTTAATGCACATCCTGCCCTCCACTCCTTCCACCAGATCAACATTCTTCATCTCCTCCATGTAACATGCGTTGCTCCCAGTTCCTGCCAATCAGAAATAAATATATGTTTTCTCTGACCGTATTTTGTTCAGGATATTTTTCAAATGAATCATTACGGCAGCATAGCATTAATTATCAATGCCAAGTCAAATGAGACTGCTACCGGGGTGACCTTATGCCACCGGATATATCATAATATGTAACCTACACAGTGTGCTCACAGATTTCTATTATAAGTGCAATATTCTGATTAGAATCTGAGATGTATACATTCTTATAAACCAAAACAATGCTTTTAAATATACAAACTGTCAATGCACTAATTTATCTTAATATTTTTTCACCAGCATGTTGCAAGGGCCTCTATAAGCAACATTACTACAATAGCTTGCATAATGTACATGGTGCAAGTAATCTTTGCTTTTTGCGTCTCTTTTTTGTCAAACCATTTGAGAAGTTTGATAAAGCCTGGGGGGATCTTCCAAAGCCTGGCCACTTTATTGCCCACAGCGCGCACACGTTATTATTGGATGGGTGACTTTGAAGAGATAATGAGGAATTTAAACTTTCGTGTTATCAGCATGAAAGCAGAGGGTCAGGCTTTGAATGTCAAGAAAGCACCAATATTTATCATACCTTTAAAAATAGTTGACCAATAAAAACAGTATCCAAAGACTTCTTGCACAATAATTACTGCAATAAATTGTAATGGCTATCGTGCTTCGAGTGTTCCTTTAAGAAGAAATTCTAAATCCTAGTGCGAAAGGTTGCAGCCTATTTCTGCAGCTTCTGAAAAATTACAAGGAGTTACCACTAGAACTATTTATTCAGATTAAACCATCTAATTTTATTGTGGTTTTCCTTCTTGTTCAACTGTTCTGGAAGTGCTAGAAAAATTCCTCTGCAATACTGGGGCAGCTAAGCCCAAAATGCACTCGTTCAATTGCACATGGAAAGTTAATAGCATAGAAAGAGCCAAAATATTAACCAGGTGAAGATTCTTACCAACTATCAATCCCATTTCACAGTAAGGGTCTTCATAGCCACAGGTCATCATAGTGCCCACTGTATCATTTACTACAGCCACTACATCCAGGTCAAATTCCTTAAAAAAACAAGCGAAACATGCCTGTTTGTTTCACAAATAAACTTTCAGAGAATGTTGTCATGTTTTGTTTTGTAAAGAGACATGAAATGCAAACCATATAGACTAATGGTCCCCAAACTAGTCTTCAAGGCACCCCTACCAGTCCAGGATTTAGGTATAACACAGTTGTGTCTACTGTGGTTTTGTTTGTTTGTTTTTCTAAAAACACCTTTGACACAATCCCTAAATCATGGACTGGTAGGGATGCCTTGAGGACTGGTTTGAGAACCACTGATATAGACAATACAAATGTGTATTTATTATGGTGGGTCCTTTCCAGTACTCCTGGACCCCTGGACTCCTTAATGATCCAACCTCTTGGCAGCCAAATTGTATCTTGTGCAGTTGATATCAAGCATGAACTGATTATATAATTCACATAGCCCAGGCACAAGACCATAATGTCCCATAATTACCTCCCGTCTGTGGATGGCTTCCTTTAGCAAATTCACAACATCCTCTCCTTCACAGCCAGATGTCTTGAAACCTTTAGTCCACTTAAGAAGAATACCCTAGAGAAGATCAGAGGAGGAGCATGTCACAAACTAAGCATTACTTTGATTCTATAGGAACATTATCATACTTCTGGAATGGATGAAGCCACATGGACAGTTTAAAGAAATTGATTACACCTGAACTTGTGTCACTAGTAAAGAATGTTATTGAGACTCCTTATATTGAACTACACCCTGTAGGAGCCGAAATGCACGGAATAAGTTATAAGAGACTTCATTTTGAAAGAGCCAACTACTTCTAAAACCATAGGGATAGTAAACTGCTTTACAGGAGATAGAGATGTAATGATTTCTTCCAATCATTGCCTTCTTAAATTAAGCTGCTTTCCAGAGGGCTGTGCTGACATTGCTAAGGCCACACCACAAAGTAAATTGATGGTATGGTGTTTCTGATGTATCCTAGTGGTAAAACTGGGGGACATCTATAGAATTCAACTTATGTTCAGTTTATACATAAGATAATATTTTAAGAAACATATATAAACTGGGAAATGGAAAGAGGAGAAAGGGGAATTGGACACCAAAATAGCCAAATTTGTTGACTATTGTTGAATATTTTGGTCTAAATGTTACACTTTTGTTTTCAGTTCTACATTGTTCAAGGTTTACTGACTAACCAAACCATGGGAAGTCTTGAATGGGGGATAATTGCCACTTCTAACAGGTTGTGCATTGGCTTGAGTGTTGGCACAGTAATGCAGGAGTGGGGTAGGTGTTGTGAAGGGCCTTTGCTATTTTAGTACTGTATGGGTTAATGCGTTGGCTGGTGGCTGAGAATGTGCTCATAACATTCATAATACATGACAATTTGGTATTGGTGGCAATGAAGTTACAGTTATGAAAAGATCTCCATGAATGCTCTGTCATGCTGTGCATTCCATTTAGTGCTCAAAAAGGCCTCTTCTTTGTTCTTGCCCACAAGGACAAAAACTGCCAGTTTCTGTTTGTTTTCTTGCCGTGGGCTATGCTATTATTTATAGCTGTATTATGAATGGCTGAAACGCCAACACCACTCAAAATAACTCTGTTTATCTTATCCTACAGATCTCAGTTGTTTTTATTTGCCTTCCCTAAAATGTCTACCAGAAGTAAAATTAAAGTCCCATGACAATTACCAACATATTTACATGGAATTCAATAATTACCTCATCCAGGCTATTCTGTTGACAAGGAAAGGAAAAGGTGAATCCCAGGGGCAGTGACACTCCTTTCATGCCCATGTATTCCAGGAAATCCGCAATACAATGAACAATGTGGTCAAAAAGCTGCGTAGAAAAATATAGTACTATTAAAACATTGCATTTAAATCCAACAAGAACACACACTTTAAAGGGACGCAATAGGCACCAGAACCACTACAGCTTAATGTAGTGGTTTTGGAGCAAAAGCTGAGCAATGTAAACCCAGCCTTTTCTGAGAAAAAGTATTGTTTACACTGCTGCCTAAAACCATCCCTAATGGCAGTCACTCCAACAGCCGATAGAGGTACTTCCTGGGGTTGTTCCTGCAAAGATTGCGGGACCAATGTTCAGCACCTGCTCCACGCTATACATGGAGACATTGAACACACTCCGTAAACATGCATTGCATCAATGAATCTCTATGAAAAGATGATGATTGGCACATCGCATGCTTCCCTAGGTTTGATTATTTAAACCAGCAGAGCCTGGATGCGCACCATAATCTAAATCATTAGTATAATACTATTGTGTTAGGATTACATGTTTGTATACCTAGCCTATAGTGTTTCTTTATATAACCATAATGAAATATAATTCTAAAAAGAAAAAATGTACACTACTGCCAGTCAAATCAGAATAATACTCCTTGCCAATCAAATCATAATACTCTGTTGAAGAGGAAAAAAATATGGTGCATCACCAACATCAGCCTTCAGTAGATGTGGGGATTTGTAGAACATGGGAAAATGACTAAAAAATTGTAGAGAGTTAAGCCACCCCAAGTATCACTTCAGATTATTTAAAGTGAGAGAGCATGGTTAGAGTAATAGCACCTTTTTGCTTATAGAAAGAGTTTCGGCTGCAGTACATTTTCTTGAAACAGAGGCAAGCAGAAACCAAATTGGTAGCATTCTAAAATGCCTGGCATAGACACCCAGCTGCCCTGAATGAGCACTACCATTGTCTATTATGGCAGTGATGTTGAAAAAGACTACAGGGAAGATTCTTTTTTTTTTTTAACATGCTAATCTTGTGTAAGGTGATAAATAACAAGAGATCACCATGATGGCACCCAGTCATGCCTTGACAAATCTCCAACAAAATGAGCTTGGTGGCCATTACATTTACTGAAATAAGAGAAAGCTCTCTATTATGAACGTGATCCTATGAAGCACCATTAGCAGCCAGACATGCTTTCACTATGAAAATATAGCTCCAGATCAGTTAGCAATTGAAGAGAGTCAAGACACCTGTTGTTTCCTAGCCGATAAAGGGACACCAATATTAGTAAACAATGAATATAAACATAATGACCATATAACTCTCTTTGGGACAAAATGGCTGGTGTCTCCTAGACAGAAAGAGCTAAACATAAGAAGTTGTACGTCAGGAGAACATAAATAACAGACCTGTAATTCCTATTTCCCCATGTCTACTCACCTCCTCGCCTGTGCCCAGCATAATGTCCTGGGGGATTGTGTAGATCTTATTGTGCATTTCCACGCCACGTCTCATGCCGTTTCGAACACGTACAAGGAGCACACGGAAATTAGTGCCTCCTAGATCTAAAGCCAGGAAGTCTCCTTTCTCTGAAAGTGCAGAGAGGTGAAAATGAACACTGTGCATATTGTGTTTTGTGTTAAAATGGAAACATCTACAAAAGTACAAATCCCAATTTGGCTCCTCTGTGTGTTACATAGTAACCTGACCTCACATTTTAATATACAAATATGACATTCGACTCGCCACTGATATTTTTGTACCTTCTTATTGTTCTTGTAATATTGTTTTGCTATTTATAAAGCAGAGAGTACAACTGACCCTTTTAAAATAGGATGTTTTTCTTAAACGACAAAACATATGATTTTAAGAGCTTCACCGTCATGTTTAGAGTTGGTCCACCCAGTCCTCTCACTCGATTTCCAGGGATGGATTAATTCCCTCATCTACCCCACTTCCTTACCCATGGGTCTAAGACTAACTAATTCTGTGTTCACAAAGATAAACCATGAAATAATGTTCAGTACGTAGTCTGTGTAAGTCTGCAATACACAACATGTTTGTTACTGCATTACCCTAAATGGACACATTCTGTTTCATCATGGAAAGTAAAATGTAAAATAAGTACTTTAAAAGTTCAGAAAGTTACTTTGCATTTACTGGAACATAGCTCTAGTTCTGAACTATTTAGTACTGGCTAGCGTTTATTATATATATAATACTATCTGTTATGCATATGTCCTGTATAATCTTGGAAAGTACTGGTGGCAATGTATAAATATTATATGTATAAAACTTTAGAAAGTTTCTTAGCATTCGCTGGACAATTGTCTCACTTGAGAATTATTCAATATTGGCTGGATAATATATTATATATAAATTGCATTATCATGGAAAATACCGATGGCGATGTATAAATATTAGATTCACCTATAGAAAAATAATAAGTGTTTCAAAACTTCAAAAAGTTATTTCACTGTGAATGGAACATTGCCTCATTTCTCTGTTGGATGGAATACATTGTAGGTATCGATGAATATAACTGTGACACTTTTTCTTAGGTAAACAATTTGATAAAATGCATCATTGATTTGAATGTGTTCTTTTTATTTCAAACAATTGGGTTCTCTTACCTGTACCATCAGGAGTTGCTCGTACATAGGTGGGCAGCATTTTCACTGTGGCACTGTCGTGGCTTTCTTTTTGCAACCCCCTCTCCATTTCTGTCCTCATTACTTTCTTAATCTCCAAGAGCTGTTGGTGGCTGAGATTTAAAGCTTCAAGTGTTTTCTCTCTTTCATGCTTCTGGTCAGCCAATCTGTAAGCTACAGCAGTCACCATAGCAGCCCCTTTTCCACTGCCATCTTCAGACCGGATGAATCGGACGTCACATTCTGGTACCAAACGACGAACAGTCTTCTGAAGGAGCCGAGCGTAACTGGAAAAATATTAAAATAAATATTTATCTGACCCACTAAGCAAAAGTACATCAGTTTTGATTCTAAAACCACCAGAAACTCCTTTGAATAGGTAATATCTCTCCTACAATTCTATCCTAACATACTGTACTGAATAATTTTCTTTCATCTTCTATGGAACTGGGAATCAACCACCGCTGAACCGATTCCGACCCCCTTTTTTAACTCCAATATAAATCTCCTTGTCTTAGATTTTAGTACATCAAGCTAACATTCATGAGATTTCTCATGCAGACTGATGACATTGTTTGCAAACTATGGAAATGGTGTCTTTTTCTATCTATACTAATCTTAGAATGTTTGGATTAAAGTTCTTTGGAAAACTGTGTACAAAGTTTATCTATTAAAACAATGCTTGTTGGTTTGTTGAAAACCCATTGTACTTTTGCCGGTACCAGAATCTCACTTACTGTGGATGGTTTTTGTAGACAGATCCATCCACTCCCACTGTGGATTTCAGCCTCTCCACACCTTTGTTTTCCCGGATCCGCCGCAGCACAGCAGCTAGAGTCGCAGCACAAAGATTGGCAGAACGGGTAGATACAATCTGACAGATTCTGTGAGTGGCCACACAGTCCTCATGGGATGGCTCCAAACCCAATTTGCTTAAAATTGCATGGGCTTTCTGAATCCCTTCTTTATCCCTGCAATGGTAAAAGCAAAGTGAGGAAAACTGTTTGGGCATCTTAGCTCAGCATTGTATGTACATTTAGGAAATTAGTTTTTTATATATATATTATATAAACACACACTGCATAAATGCTCAGAATTCTGATAGCATTCAGGTCTATACAGATGTTGACTCCTACAGCTGATCCACACACTTGACTCCGGAATGCAGTCTAGCAATATCTAATCTGGGCTAAATATATGATTTAGTTCTGTACATGTGGGGTTCCAAGATGTAATTAAACTACGTGCATGCTAGTTTCCAATGTGTAAATTAATGATCTACACCCTAATATGTTTATATACTAAACAAGGAATCATGATTAATGGACAGCGTCAAAGGGTTACTATAGTCACCAAAGCAATTTTAGCTTAATGAAGCAATTTTGGTGTATAGCTCATGCCCCTGCAGTATCACTACTCAATTCTCTGCCATTTAGGAGTTAAAGTACTTTGTTTATGCAGCCCTAAGCACACCTACCTTCATGTACATTGCACAGCCTTCCTAACACTTCCTGTAAAGTGATACCTAAAGTTCACACATCCTTTATTGTACAGTCTGTTTGATTTAGAATTTCTTATCTCCTGCTCTGTTAATAGCTTGGTAGCTTGATTAAAGTTCAATTGACAGAGCGGGAGATAAAAACTTCTAAAGTAATTTATTATCTGATTGAAAACCATCTGATTGAAAATCACAGTGAGAAGCGCGGAAGCGCCTCTAGCGGCTGTCAATGAGATAGCCACTAGAGGCTGGATTAACCCTAAAGTAAACATAGCAGTTTCTCTGGCAGGGTTAACCCTAGATGGACCTGGCACCCAGACCACTTCCTTGAGCTGAAGTGGTCTGGGTGCCTATAGTGGTCCTTTAATAAAACAGTTTTGGTGTATAAATCATGCGCCTGCAGTCTCACTGTTCTATTCTCTGCCATTTAAGAGTTAAATCACTTTGTTTATACAGCACTAGTCACACCCCATTTTTGAAACAAAACACCTTGATAAATATCCCCAATGTAACAGTGGAGTTATTTTAAATGTTTACTAGTTTGCTGGATTATTTGCAATTTTGTGGTCGGTTCCTTGTTTAGCGAATATCCCTGTCAGTAATTTAGTCACTGAGTTTCAACATACGATACATCAATCAAGACAATGAAACTGAGGCAGCACTAGCTAGATGTAAATAAAGGGGGTTCAGTATCATATAAACGTTCATTATAAACCTGAAAATAAAGTTGTAAAACATTCACAGTGAGGCTAATACATCACAATTCAGCATTCCAAGGCACATCGCCTTATATTTAAATGCTGACTATAAATTATAGGGACTCTTAAGAGTCACATTAATAAGTAGAAGTGAAATGAAGGTGGGCAGAGTCGTCTGAGTTTGCAAGGGCATTACATCAGCCACTCGAGTTGCAGCCTGTTTCTGTGTACAGGCTTGTCTTCACTGAGCTGGTTTACAGCTTTATCAGTCTATGACTAGTGTGTATTCATATATAATCCTTGTTTGTACAAGGGTTTTTACATCCTGGAATCACGCAGGTGAAGGAAATAGATCAGTGATGGCTAAATTTGACAGAATAAATTGCCTCTGGACTACATTTCCCATAATGCTCAGCTAGCTTTTAGACTCTAAGGCTGACTGAAGGCGCGCAATTGGCGGAAGAGGAAGGAGAGTCCCCAGCGCCGAGGGAGCCCGGTGCTGGAGAAAGGTAAGATTTAAATAAAGGGGGTTCAGTATCATATGAACGTTCGTTATAAACCTGAAAATAAAGTTGTAAAACATTCACAGTGAGGCTAATACATCAAAATTCAGCATTCCAAGGCACATCGCCTTATATTTAAATGCTGACTATAAATTATAGGGACTCTTAAGAGTCACATTAATAAGTAGAAGTGAAATGAAGGTGGGCAGAGTCGTCTGAGTTTGCAAGGGCATTACATCAGCCACTCGAGTTGCAGCCTGTTTCTGTGTACAGGCTTGTCTTCATTGAGCTGGTTTACAGCTTTATCAGTCTATGACTAGTGTGTATTCATATATAATCCTTGTTTGTGCAAGGGTTTTTACATCCTGGAATCACGCAGGTGAAGGAAATAGATCAGTGATGGCTAAATTTGACAGAATAAATTGCCTCTGGACTACATTTCCCATAATGCTCAGCTAGCTTTTAGACTCTAAAAGCTCGCTGAGCATCATGGGAAATGTAGTCCAGAAACAATTTATGGTGTCAAGGTTAGCCATCACTGTAACAGATCATACTCTTGTCCAGGTTTATAATGAACACTTACTTTACTACAGAAAAAAAAAACTAACAGAATCATTAGGTCAGTAGTGACAAGTTCTGTTCTGTCTTACTTTTCAATATCTGAGATGAAACGGGTTTCAAAATGTCCAGTAGTCATGAGGTCGGCTGTAATCCTGCCGCCAAAAAGAAGATCTTCTTTGGCCATTTTGACTAAGATAAGCCTGACTAACTCTCCCATGTACATTCCGCTAATCATCTTCTCAAACCTACAAGAGAGAACATTAAAAAACAAGCATGAAACCCTTCCTGAATCCCATTTCTATAATACCCCTGCTTACATCTTATTCCATTAATCCACATCTCCCCCTTATCTTTGAACTAATTTGCGTTATGGAAGTCAGGAAATAACCAGCAGGTGGCGCTGTTGTTTTACTGAAAAAAATCATTGCATCCAATATTATGGATACATACTAACACAAGACTAAAGACAGAGTATAAACTAAAAGTATTGAGCACAGATATTCCCCATACATAAACAAAACATGTAAATACATACATTTATAAAGAAAATACTGTATGTATCAGTCTGCTCCTTGTACAAATGAGCAAAATGCAGGCTGATAATCCACCCTGAAATTAGAGAATTCAACATACACCATGATTGTGTATATGTAAAGAATGATGTATGTATGGACATATACATTAGGACTACGCCAATGGTATGTCTGCATGCAAGTCATAAATTGGAGTGAAAGATGTCTATTGCACACTCTTCCTCCATACATATAAAAACAAAACACTGTTTGAGCTGCTGCAGTTAACCTAAGCTAGCAATGTAGATAGTAATTTATATAGTAAGAGAGATGATATATAGTCTGTATTTCTGTTTTATTTATGCCAGCATAATTTCTTCTCCTTTTTAAATATTTTTGCAATGCTAATAAAATATCCATGAGTGGTGCTATGTTCTTTTGCACAAACCCCAATTACCAGAAATACTTGCATTTGTTTGCCTGGATTTAAAGATCCCATGTCGATTTCGCGGTCAAACTCAGTCCTAATATCATTCAGGGATCCATCATCTCCAAATGCACCCCACTCCATATTCACGCACATCCGTCCTTCGTCACCTTCCACCAGATCAATATGCCTCATATCTTCCATGTAACATGCATTAGTACCTGTACCTGTATAAACAAAGAAACATTTAAAGTATTCACTCAATGGGAGCATACAGGACACAACCATCGACCATAAGACCTGTGAGTTCTATCCCAATATTGGCTGAACAAAACTCAGGGAGACACAGGTACAAACTGAGTACACTCAATTCAAACTTCAGTTTTAAGATATAGCACAACTGATATATCAATTGAGGGGGCACTAGCCCGAGAGCACCCAGCAATAAACATGCAAGTACGGCAGTGGGATAAAGGAGGTAGGTGAATAAACCTCAATCATTAAGGTTTGCAACCAGTTCCATTTATTAATATGATTGACCTGAAGATTCAGCAGTATCAATTACAAACCAGTTGGTGTATCCAATGCGCCTGTTCTCTCACAGTTATATGGGAAAAGTCATTCTATACTTACCAATAATAAGACCAATTTCACAATTGTGGTCATCAAATCCACAAGTCATCATGGTTCCCACCGTGTCATTTACAACAGCCACAATGTCAATGTCAAAATCCTGCAATGAAAGGAAAGAATTAGAAATATAACAGGCACCTTTAGTCCCATCTCTGACTATAGCAAATACATGCATACAAACTACATTTAGGCCAGACACGTGTCACACTTGCACAGGTGACTCCTGTCTGACACCAGTAGGGCACAAAGGCAGCAAGATCATTTACCATAGTCATTCCTAGAGTCCTTGCCGTTTTCACATAGGAAGAAAGAAACGAGAATTTAGGCTCTCTCTCATTGACACGTTTATGTTCAGTAACCAGGATATCCTAAGTTTATTGCAGACTAAGTCACCAGCACACTGGTGAGCTAGTTTTGAGCTATTACATATGGAGATCAACTTGCTGTGGCATGTTAGTACATTATGGGGCACATGTCCACCACAGGTATTATCTTGCCTGTACCTGTGGCATTTACAGAGTGTCTTGTGATAAGATAAGCAGCCTGTTCCTATCAGAGATAGTTAGTGACAACTGATGGAAAATGCCAAGATGCAGTGTTGGCATTTTCAACATACTGCCTTCTACAGAAGACAAAATAGTTCCTACTTTGTCTCATGATGTTTTGATTGTTTATTTGAGAGTGCCACCTAAAATGGACACTCCAGGCAACACAAATAAGTTGTTATGGTGCCAGGAAGCACTCATAACTCAAGGGGTTAAACCGTTTTCCAGCGGCGTACCTTTGGAAAAGGTACGTTTCTTTCCAAGCCAGTTTAGAGAATTGAGAGTCACTGATTGTCTGAAAGCGTCAGCTGACCACTCTCAGCCAATCAGTGGGGCCTCCTGGCACCATCACAACTTAATTTAGATTAAGTTGTTTTGGTTGCCTGGAGTTTCCACTTAAACTTTTTCAATAGTAGGATCATCCTCCTAATTCACATGAGCTGTGGGCTGTTATTAATAATAAAAAACTGAAGGTCCACAATATTTTCTTAATTTTATTATTATTTATTATTATTATGATATTTATAGAGTGCCGTCAAATTCCGCAGCGCTTTACAATGGGATTGAAACCATTTGCAGACACAGTGCCAAAGCATTGCTGCCTCGTCATTAATCTGGAGCAAAGGTGGGCCCATTTTGTTAACCACAAAATACATACATCTCATAAAATAAGTAACCACATATTTCCAAAATTGGATTTGGTTTCTAACTAGATAAAGAGGAGAGCATACGTACCCCACGTTTCTTGATTGCTTTCCGTAACAATGTGACTACATCCTTTCCTTCTACCCCACAGGCCTTGAATCCTTTGGTCCAATTTACCAAGATGCTCTTCAAACAGAACAAGAGAAAACAATAAATTTAACATGGCTAGGTGTAACAAGTGAATAAAATCTTTAACTCCTATGCTACAACAACAATATTTAAATTTTACTGAAACGTGAATACCACTCCAGGAAAGGTATAATTGTTTTCATTCATGGGCTAGATGTTATGCAATTATAGACATGTAGTCAGGTGTTGCTTAGGACAGACATACCATCCTGTTTTGCATTTTCTTTTTTTTTTTGCATGCTGATTGAATTTCACAAAAGGAGTTAAATATACTGTAAATTAAAATCATCTGTGATAAAACAAGAACAGTAAACTCCACCACCCATAAGAGTTCATTTCAAAGTGTATAGTAAGTGTACACTAAATAATCTTCCAGTCTATTGTGTACTTAGTGCATATTAGTCTCAGGCAAGGCATTATCTAAATACCAGCTGTGTAAAAGTCTCTTTAACATAGAATAAATTACATATTTATGTCCGTTTCTGTGGTGTGTTTTGCTAGTTGCCTGTGTTTTTTGCGGGATCTGCACACTTTAACAAGGATCATAGATTTATTTATATTAGACTCCATACCTCCAGGGTGAACCTCTTCAGGACCCGTACCGTTCTATCCCCTATTCTTTCCTAGAGGGCCTCTTTTCTAGGTGCTCAGAATATTTGATGTATGAATGTATCACACATATAGCAAACTGGCCTTGAAATTATAGTGAATGTGTTTAGGAATCAGTTTATTAAATTAAACGTTTTTAACTTTGCTTTACATTTTTAAATTATATTAATAAGTAGGACTTCATCTCTCATCACTTCTCCAACAAAAACCAGCGCCCTAATTTGACTATTTTAATGTTCGAGACACGAGACTCCACTAATATTAATAATTCAAGATGTCATGTCCTGAAACCAGCTTAGCCCAGTGATGGCTAAGCTTTATATTTTCCTATAGGTTAATTACAACCAATTTACCTCATCCAGTTTGGTCTGATGACAGGGAAACGAGAACGTGAATCCCAGAGGAAGCTTCCGGTCTTTGATGTTCAGCTTCTCCATGAAGTTGGCCAAGCATTCAGCAATATGGTCAAACAGCTGCAATTAAAAGAACAACTCTAATTAATCTACAACATTCACACCTTATTCTAGGTTAATTGATTTCACCAGAAAACAAACATATAAATGAAACTGGGAGTACATTGACAACATATTACGCAGGGCTAGATAGCCTTCAAATCTTCAGTTTTCATTGAAGGTTCCAAGGGCAATCAGACGAAATGATGAGAATGTCAATTAACATATAAAGATTACTGAATTCTATCAATTTGTGGCTCTGTACAGAGCATATATAGGGCAACTACTAAAGCTGTATATTCAGAACTTGTAAGTTGAATGTCCTTCAGTATCAGTGTAATCCCTAAAACATTTCATTTGCCATATACACATAGGAACTGCATGTATGTGACGTACTGATGTACCTTGCAATATACATCTTACATTAGCACATGTAAAATGTAATTTAAACACACCATCTACGGTGTGTGGAATATGCATGGAAATAATTACCACTCATCATTTAAGATGCTAGTGGCAAAATGTCTGCAAAAAAAGTGTTCAAAGCAAATGTCCTAGAGAAATGCAGTTCAGCCAAATATTTGGATTTTAGAAAACAAGCGTAGTTTAACAGGTGTATTATGACATCTAGCTGTGCTCCAGTCATTACATCTAGTACATCAACACAAAATAAACAGTCATGTAGAGGGTTAAATGTAAACCTTGCTTTTATGTCCATGTGCAGAGTAAGTTGTAAATTAGGCTTAACATTTTGCATAGATGTCTTTGTTTGGAAGCTACACCTGGTCACTGTAAGTGCATGGGCCTGCTGTTCTCTGACCGTTCAGGCAGTTTGAGTAAAGGAAATGCTCCATTATTATTATTATTATTATTATACTTCTGTGACACAGCGTGACACAGGATGTATGAAAGAGCCCCTTATCTACACTGCACTTTGAGAAACAGATGGGCAATTCCTTGCTCCCTGTTTGGGCATTGAGAAGGTTAATGAAACATGACTTCGTAGACAGACTTAGAAAGACAAAGCTAAAAATGTTACCTAATCTGACTTAAGATGTATAATAAGCTTATTTCAAATTACTTGTATTTTACAATTTACTTCTTTTTAATAAACACTCCAAGAGGCTTCTAATGGCCAACCCTATACAACCAGTGAGCCCAAGGCATTGTGCACTTAAGTCATATATGTAAGAGTTGTGAGCTATTACATATGGAGATCAACTTGCTGTGGCATGTTAGTAATCCCCAGAGCAATCACAAAAGTGGCACATTATCAAGTGTTTATGGAATATATTCATATGTACTGCTTAGTGCTATCCAGAACTATAGAACACACATTGCATCTATACTGTGCTGTTATCAGCACCTTCAAAATATTCCACTGCAATAAAATATATCTGGTAAATTATCTAAAAAAAAGATAGAGAGTTTTCATTCTCGAAATTATCTTTGACCATTTCTTAATGCGACTGAGAAGCTAATGAAAGCATTCACCTGATAAAAACCCTCCTTCAAGCTCCTAAGGCATCCAGTGGTTTAGCAGTATTTGAATAGTTCAAGGTTGGGCCACTATTTACAGGACATGATTTTTTTAATCTGGGTGTTTTCATTGGCAGGCGCCTGACATAACATGTCAAAGCAAATCACTGAACTAAAGATGGCAAGCGCTAGTCAGAATGGAGCCGGGATTGTGCAAGTTATTGTAGTCAGACAGCCGTGTTTTTATTCCGAAATCACTTACTGGCAGGGAAACTGTACTTGTGTTCAGGCAATAAGCTGCTATCACAGCCGAGGAGCTGAGCAAAATGCTGAGGAGGGCAGATTTTGGAGGGTAACTGCGTACTGCATTAATTACACCCTGCTGACCTATCATCAAATTACTTAACAAATAGGAAAAATACACTGAGAATTAGATGCCTTGGAAAAAACTTGTAAAGATTTTCGAACGAAATGTAACCATTACATACTCGTCTATCACACTTCAAAGTGCTCTGTTGGAATAATATGAAGAAAATCAAAACACATAAAACAATGTACGTATTCATCTATTCATTTATTTGTTCTTGGAGGAACTGGCAACGTTTAGAGTCTTTGGTCCTCACTGGTGTATGTATTGTGTGGATGGACAGAATGTATGGGTACGGGTGGAAGATCGTTATGTTCTGCTGATAATCTATGAAATAATAATAATTCATATAAACGGTCTCACCTGAGCTCCGCTGCCTCGCATCAGATCCTCTGGAATGGCATAAATCTGGTTCTCCATCTCCACTTTCTTTGTCCCATTATCTGAAACCTTCACCCGTAACACTCTGAAGTTTGTTCCTCCCAAGTCCAATGCCAAGAAATCTCCATTTTCTAAAAGAGAAGAATGTGTTCCATGTTGTTAATAGGTATACACTATCATGGTGATAACACCAGGTAACAACTGAGGCAACTTTAAACATTTAATGTGCACATTTAGCATTTGCAATATGTTCTGTTCAATTCTGCCAATACAGCATTATTATAGAGTATGTTCTTTGAAGTGTACATTGTAAGAATCCATAAGTACATGGTGATAGAAGCCTTTTAACAAAACCACTCACATCAAAGACATATTTCTGACAGTCTACAGAACTTTGGTGCCAAGAAATTTATGTTTGTGTAAATCAGTGTACAAATGACTATAACCCCTATATAGGGTATGGCCACATCTGTTGTGTATATGTGTTGGGAGGGTCTTTTTTTTTTTTGCAAAGATTTTGCTTGACATCTTTTTATTTTATGTAAGTTCAATTTTATTTTACTATTTATATTACACTGGTAAGCCACATTAAAACCACTGACAGGTGAATTTAATAGCATTGATTATATTGTTACAAAAGCTCTAGTCAAGAGGTGGGATACATTAAGCAGCAATTGTACAGTCAGTTTTTGAGTGACTTTGACAAGGACCAAATAGTGATTGGGTCAGAGCATCTCTAAAACCGCAAGTCTTGTGGGATGTTCTCAGTATGTGGTTAGTACCTACCAAAAGTGGTGCAAGGAAGGAAAGACAACCGGTTAAATTAAGCATCAGGATCATGGGAGCCCAAGGCTTGTTGATGCATGTGGGGAGAGGCTAGCCCATCTTGTTCTGTCACACAGAAGAGCTATTGTAGCTCAAATTGCTAAAAAAAAAAAGAAAAAAAAATGCTGGCCAAGATAGAAAGATGTCACAATATACAGTGCATCTCAGTTTGCTGCGTATGGGGCTGAGTAACCGCAGACCGATCTGAGTGCCCATGATGACTCCTGTTCACCTCCAAAAACGTCTTCAATGGGGAAGTGAGCTTACCACGTACATCCCTTCATTGCAATAGTGTTCCCTGATGGCAGTGGCCTCTTTCAGCAGGATAATGCACCCTGCCAAACTGCAAAAAATGTTCAGGAAACATAGATAAATAGAATGTGACGGCAGATAAGAACCATTCGACCCATCTAGTCTGCCCAATTTTCTAAATACTTTCATTAGTACCTGGCCTTATCTTATAGTTAGGATAGCCTTATGTCTATCCCACGCATGCTTAAACTCCTTTACTGTGTTAACCTCTACTACTTCAGCTGGAAGGCTATTCCATGCATCCACTACCCTCTCAGTAAAGTAATACTTCCTGATATTATATATATTTTTTTTTAAATCTGTTTTATTTGTGTTGTCAAAGTCGAGAAAAAATAGGACTCGCAGGTCCCAAGAGACATATCAAGATCTACAATAGCATGAGCACCATTCATTAGCGTAGGTAGCATGACGTGTGGGAACGTTCTCGGGCTCGCAGGCCCACAATATTGCCGGACACGCAGGTCCCTGGTAATTTCTAGTGTTACAGCTATGGTTTTTGAATTCACCAATTCTCACTGTTTAGCCAGGCGTTATCTGATATTATTTTTAAACCTTTGTCCTTCTAATTTAAGACTATGTCCTCTTGTTGTGGTAGTTTTTCTTCTTTTAAATATAATCTCCTCCTTTACTGTGTTGATTCCCTTTATATATTTAAATGTTTCTATCATATCCCCCCTGTCTCGTCTTTCCTCCAAGCTATACATGTTAAGATCCTTTAACCTTTCCTGGTAAGTTTTATCCCGCAATCCATGAACCAGTTTAGTAGCCCTTCTCTGAACCCTCTCTAAGGTATCAATATCCTTCTGAAGATACGGTCTCCAGTACTGTGTACAATACTCCAAGTGAGGTCTCACCAGTGTTCTGTACAATGGCATGAGCACTTCCCTCTTTCTACTGCTAATACCTCTCCCTATACAACCAAGCATTCTGCTGGCATTTCTTGCTGCTCTTTTACATTGTCTGCCTACCTTTACGTCATCAGAAATAATCAACCCTAAATCCCTTTCCTCAGGAATGTTTTGAAATCCAAATTCTTCAGATCTCAATTTGATTGAGCATCTGTTGGATGTGCTGGAAAAACAAATCCGATTCATGGAGGCCCAACCAGCATCTGCTGCTAATGTCTTGGTGCCAGATATCACAGTACATGCTTGAAGGTTTTGTGGAGTCCATGCCTCAATGCATCAGAGCTGTTTTGGTAGCACAAGGGGAGCCTACAAGCAGGTGGTTTTAGTATTGTAACTGATCAGTTTATATACCTGATTGTCCTGACACAGCCAGGGCATATCATGTCATTTATTTTAACTACCTTAGTGCCATGGACTAAGTAAATGTGCAACCATGCACTGGTACAGAATTTCTCAACATTATCTCAGTATTTAAAAAATATTTTATCAGGAAGGATACACTGAGATCTCTCTCATTTTCAAGTATGTCCTGGGTCATAACCCGAGCGTGCCCAGAGTGTCATGGTGTGATGATGTCACCCGCACACTTAAGTACTGCAGAGGTCAGTGGGGCTTATACTTACTTCTACTGGGATGACACAATTAAGAACTTGAAAAAAAAAGTTGGTAAAGCTAAATTGTCACCTTAAAAGTAAAATGTATTAAAATACGAAGCAGCCTCTTGAGTTTCTTATTACATTAACTGATGGGGGACTTACCTGGCATCCCTGGGAGTCCTCCTGCTGCTGATCCAGCACTCCTGGGCCATGTGATCGCGAGGTCCTTGCGAGGACCTCACGATCACATGGACGGAATAGACGTCCATAGCAGTGCCAGCAGGGGGAGTGCCTGGAATGACAGGTAGTCCCCCTGCTGCCTGTAATAAAGTTAAATAAAAGTTAAAAACAGTTTAAAATTAAATGATATATACTTAGATCATATATATATATATATATATATATATACACACACACATACACTGTCCAAGTGGATACTAAAAAAAGATTGGACATACCCCATTTGCAATACCTTGGGTTGTCTACTATTGCAAATGGTATGCCATCATGGGGGTAATTATCATTCCTGGGCTATCATGCAGTCTCAAAGGCAACGTAACCAATCTGGCGAATTTGAATGTGAAAAAACTGAAAAATGTAACATGCAATATTTGACCCTGTAACTTCCCAAAACACCATAAAACATGTACATGGGCGGTACTGCTTTACATGTGAGACATAGCTGAATACAAATATGTGTATTTTATTTCATTAAAAGCAAACAGTATTATGACATTCACAGTTAAAATGTCATGTAGAACTAAAAAAATAATAACATTTCTTAATTTCTCATAATTTTTTATATTTTATTCATATTAAATTATGTTTCATAGCTCAATATTTGATGTTAAATGAAAGCCCTGAATAAAATGATATATAATAAGTGTGGGTGCACATAATATGAAAGAGGTAAATAGCAGTTGAACAGACATAGAGCGCAAATTGCAAGTTTTGTTTATGTTTTATTTTGATCGTGTACAAAACGTGTACATTTGGCTCAGTCCTTAAGAGGTTGATAAAGAAAAAAACAGAAAGTAGATATAGCATGTCAACATATAATTTTACAGTGTGGGTGGTATATATTAAAATTAGCATGTTGATTATGTAAAAAATGAACAGATTAGAAGAGACAGACAACCACTTGCTTTTATTAGAGATAGTCAAAATTGAAATATCTGCCTTGTGGGAACTTTTCATCCCATCTCACAAAATTGTGGAAAGTGGGAACAAGAAATTGTTTGTACATGTCTCTTGAAATATATTAACCAATTCATCTTGACATTTATAAAATAATAAAAATATCCTTTAAAATTTCAAGGATTCCGTAAGAGAAAAGATACTGTTAGCCTACTCAGCACACTTTGGCAACCACAGAAGGACATGAAGCGTTGATGTTTTAACTGTTTCTATGGCTGGTGCATTAACTGAGCTCTCTTACAACCCTGAGTGCATTAGCCAAGGATGTAAATGCTTTGGGTTTGTTACCTGAGGTCCATATGTACATGTGTTTTAGAAACTAAAGCAAATACAGTGTGTAGACATTTGATTCCTTCAAATTTCCTGGTCTCTGCTATCAATACCGAGCCGTCATCCCTGACCTGGGAACAAGCATGTTCCTCCCATTATTTCAGATAAGTAATGCTGATTATACAGTATCTGAGAAAAAATGGTGTAGCTCATATTACCTGCAAATCATGAGATTATCTACCATAATGAAAGGCTATTTGCCCAGTGGAACCACATCATTGGTAGGGCTGGATGTTAGAGACCTGATCTGACCTTGTATCAGAACCCTATTCTGAGCAGTGAATGTGCTGTGCTTGCGTGACTGGGAAGGATTACACACCCCAGGACCATTGTCCTGGTACAATTACATCCATTGAAATCAAATGTAGACAGCGCTCATTTAACCCATCTGATACCAGCGCTGAAGAATCAAGCAATATTGCTGCATGCTGCAGACAGAGCTATTTAAACATAGAACAACAGTGGAGGCTGTCACGTGGTTTCTATAAATGTTAGAATACAGCTGTACTTCTGTTTTCTAGGAAACACTCTCACCAGGGACTTTAGATTGCAAGCTAATCTTTCAACAAAGTTTCTCTTTTAAATTTGTAGCAATTATGGCTCTTATTTTGAAATTACATGCATAATTCATTAACTTTATTTACTTTATTTCAACTCCTTTAGGACTAGAGGCTAGGAAAATGCTATAAAATTATGACAGTCAAGGCACATTATTTATCATAAGGAAGTTAGATATTCTGTATAGTTAGGCCGTGTCTATTAAATGTTCTGTGTAAATAAAAAGCCCTAAATACTTTCATGCACATGCTGTACTCCTGAGATACTTATGTTTTTATACCCAAAGAGAGGAAAAGTGAAACACAGGGAGCGAGAGCCTAGGACCGGTTTTCATCCAGTCAATGGTTGGGAGTAATCCAGAACTGAAACAGTTAAAGAAATGAGTCATTATAAAGAACCACACCTCATAGTCTAAATAGGAACAAAAGATGGGCAATGCAAACATCAGTGTGCGGCATTGCCTGATTCTTTTCATAGCAGTGTTAGGGCTTGGGAGCTTGCCCAAAATACCTAGAGGGAACATGCTTAGGGGCAACTTAATATTAAGCATTCCTAACCCACCCTGAGTGTAACCTATCCTGAGCTGAACCCCTTGGCTTCAGTAAAGCTTAGTTTGCGCAAATTCAGGAGCAGAGTACCCCAGCAGGCAAGGTGTAACACAAAGTAACACATGGCTTTAAAATAAATGTTTATTATTCATTGCAACAGAATACTAGAATAAAAACACTGGCTCTATTTGCAGCCACCTCCATTGTTCCATAAAATAGGGTGAATGTATCTCGCTAGCAGCTCCCTAATTTATTATCAGGAGCAGGACTGAATTAACAGGAACAGCTGTAAATATCACGAGAGTGTATTTAACTACCACCAATATCAGGTAGACTGGTGCTACCCTAACATTTTTACTTACCACAAAGCCATATCTTTATCCTTGTTGCGGAGTTCATTTTATATATGTGTATATATTAGATGTGTTCCTTATTCTTAAAATATTAAGTGTTCCTTATTCTTAAAATATTAAATACCCGGGGGCGGAGCCAAGCAGCAGAGGCAACCGGTCGCACAATTCTGGAGCTCCGTAATGCAAACGGAGAAATCAAACCTAATCCCAAACAAAATTACCCCTACTATAACCAGACCCCACGCAGGAACCCCGCAGGCTCCATGGGTCGCAAAAATAAGAAAAGATTGCCGGATAATTCAGGCCCTGGGCTCACAATTGGAGAAATGTGGAGGCAAGCATGCGGCCCGAGTGATGCCAATATGGCGGCGCTCCACGGGGGCTGCACGGATTTCTCTGATGAATACTCAGAGGAAGCGGACGAAGACTACCCCCAAACACCAGCCCCAAAAGGGAAACCTACACCGGGCAAACCAAGGTCAGACCCCGATGCAGACCTAGTCACCACCGGAGTACTGAAAGCCTTACTGGCTGACCTGCAGAAAAATATCCTCACAGACGTCTCCGCACTGAGAGGAGAACTGCAGGGCCTGACAGGCCGGATTACCGAGCTGGAAGACTCCTCTCAAAACCACCAGCGCAGCATCACCGCACTGCAAGACAAAGTGCAAGAGCTGCACAGCAAACACACACTACTTGAACGGCGCCTGGATACCCAAGAAGACACGAGAAGGAGACACAATATTAAGGTCAGGGGGATCCCGGAGGGACCACCAGAGGCAGATCTCCCACACACGATCCAAAACCTCTTGGCCGCCATATTCCCCCCGGGTCAACACGCGTCCATCAAACCCACAGACCTTTACAGGATCCCAAAGCCTACTGGGGCCCCAGTGGCAACCACAAGGGACACAATCCTGACCTTTAAGAATGGTAGGGACAAGGCAATGGTCCTCAACGCTCTCCGAGGTAAAACTCCCTTGAAATTTGAGAACGCAACACTCACCTTCTATAACGATCTGTCGAGGGGAACCTTGGCATGGCGCAGATCGCTCCGACCCCTCACCGCCACACTTCAGCACCGAAAGATCCCGTACCGCTGGAGGTCCCCTCACATACTAACCGTGCAAAGGGGCGAGACCACCTACCAAATTCATGACCCACAAGACGCAACAGAGCTACTACTGGCCTTAGGCCTAACCTGGGACTCACTCCTCCAAACGGGCCTCCAGGGCCCCTTCACTCCGAATTCCAACTGGGACCCGGCGAACAGCGTACCATTTGTGCCTCGAAATCCTACACCAGTCACCTATGCTGCGGTCACCACCTAAGTGGAGCAGAGGCGCCTGCCAGCACCTGGCCACAGTGGATTACCGTACAGGACAAGGATCAAATCTAGAATATTAATTAAATGACTTCGAGAACTTACTGCGGACTCTGGGACTGCCACATGAACATCTCACCCAGGCGGAGCTAACCAACGATACTCCTTCAACCCATACCTGGTCACTGGGCACACCGTTCATTCCACGAGACTCCACGCCGATTACTTATGCGGCGGTCACCTCCTAGGAGAGATACCACACAAGTCCCCGGGGAACCTGACACAACGCCAGACACTGGGAAGGTAATAAATACGAAATAGCCGGGACTATGCACAGTACCCCACAGCTGCCCAACAAACCATCCGACCAACCTCAACAGTAACACAGACGGCTAACGCTGACCCCATTATACCGAGGGCTACAGCTTTCTCCTATCCCTGACCACTACAGACTCTACAGGGCCCAACGTACAGAAACAACACGGGGACTATATTGCTCTGGGACACCTGTACCCATCTTCTCCAGAGCATTGTACGCTCTACATCTACTGCCAGCCTCCCACAAGAGACCCACTCACCAGAAACATCACCACTCAATTCTCACTACACTGGTTTCCTTAATCCTGATGCAACAGCTTAAAATCAACATACTGGTGATATAATGTAAACATGATTTCAACTTGTATATCCAATTATGACAAACTACCTAGCCCTTCCAGTGGACACTGGTGTCTAGATATCCCATAATCAGTGATAACCTAAGGCAGTCTGTAACCATTCATGTTCAACCTGTTTGCAGTTAATATGTTTATGTGCAACACGCGAGTCAAACACCTCTTAAAAAGTGCAAAGTTAAAAATGGCCTCCTGCTGGTTAGACTTTTACTTTTCCTCTGAAAGTGTGTTTCCTTAATGCCCTCATTGTTATTAGATCTAAAATTAATCAGTCCTAAGCCTTAACTATGGGACCCTCCAGGGACGATATGGCTCTGCCAAGCCGAGGCACTGGCTGACAGTGCCGTGTGCCCTCGAGCGAGGTACCCATGTCCCCCTCAGGACTTACAGCCATACCCAGCTTGCCGGTACCAAACCAGGCAATATTAACATACATATGTCAAAGTTAATTCTAAGCTTGACTGAATCTCAGCAGATTACATATACTCATCTATTTAGTTACCCTCAGTGATTTAACCAGAGCTAACCTACTAATTAATCTTTATTGTGTTTTAACCAGTTCGCATATATCAGAACCTCGTACAAATTACTCACAGCAAGCGTACCTCACCATGGGTACCTACAGTATAAATGTCATTAATAGACTAAAAACGTTTTAACTAAACTTGTTAACCTGTTTCCTATATATAATCCTAGCCTTAATATTTAATGCTGCTGTCCTAGCTTGAAAACATAACTGTTAACCCACTCAACATATTCCTCAACCCTGTGGGTACCCAGGAATGTTATAATAATGCCTAGAAAGAAATGAAACGTATTGTTGAACCCAAAACTATATTGATCATAGCTTGTTTTCTCTACCAATACATATGTTATTTTAATCTTATGTTATCTCATTTTATGTTGCTCTCATTATTATTGATGCCTTCTCAGTTTAACACCTGTTTATTAATAATATAAAACTGTGCAGACTATCTATTTGCCATGTTTGACAATGTAAGATTCTATTAAGCTTGTGACTGCTGATGTGGCAACACGGGCTCGTTTGATATCACTTGCACAATAAAAAATAAAGAATTTAAAAAAAAAAAAAAAATTAAATACCCGTATTTATTCGAATCTAATGCGCCATTCAATCTAATGCACACCTCATTTTAGTGTTAAATGTTAAGTCTATTCTTTCTTAGTCCCTCTTTCAGTGACAAAATCTGACTGTGTGAATTCACCAAAATTTGTCTGTTTGAATTCGCCTCTTTGAAATCGCCTCTTTGAATTCACCAGTTTTAATTTGCCTGTGTGAATTCAGCTGTGTGAATTCAGCTGTGTGAAATTCTCTGGAAAATTTGGAATTATGCCCCGAATGTAATGCGTCATTGAATCTAATGCACATTCAAATTTTGGAAACGTTATTTTCAAAAATAAGTGTGCACTAGATTTTAGTACATATAGTATTGCTTATTTAAATTAATAAAATTACTGTAAAACTCACCTTTATTCCAGCATCATGCCTGCTACTTCTAAATGAAAATATTAAGCTTGATGATTTTTGTCCAGTCAGATGCTTTGCATTGCCATAAGTATCCAGTCCACATCTTAGAAAAGCATTGGATCCAATGCTTTGCACAAAATGTATGGGACGCACACATAGTTTGCAATGCATGCTAATGGAAAATGTCAAATAGATTCAATAACTGAATCTATATTACGCCAAAGCTCTTTATGGATGTCTAAATGACAGTCATGAGTAGGAATGGATGCTGCAAAATGTACACAGTGACATTTCTAATGGTACTGTTTTAATCTGCAAGTCTTTTTTAATCTGCAAGTGATTTGATACTTAGAGTGTCCCTTTATTAGAAAGAATTCCTATTGATGATTAGAACATTCCCTGTTATTATGTGGAGTGTGGGTGGTATGGTGAAAGAAATTGAGCTTGATAGACAATTCCATTGTGTAATGAAGGAATCATTGCATTTTTCTTATATCCATATGGACTCTGATTACAAAGACATAATTTAGCTCAAGGTGGGGAAATGAACGCATTGATCCTGAAAGCCAAGTTAAAATGCTATCACATGGTCCTGTCTACATTACAAAATTCACTAAGCAAATGTCATACGCACTTCTGTTTCTAGGCAACAAAGGGAAGCAGGAACTGGTTATTATTCGCTGACGGAAAAAACTATACACAAATTATATTTACACACTTGTGTGTTCAAAAGGCTGTAAACTCATTAGCCTCGCTACCGGACTGTGCCTGTGAAAAGCTTTCGCAAACATAGAAGCATTTCTCAATTAGTTATGGTATAGAAATCTAAAGAGCAAGAATGGCTAGCCTATAGCATTTTATATTGCTGACTTAGCATCATGGGCAATGTATTTCACAATAACTGCAGCTTCATCTGTGCATTAAATATGATATAGGATTAAGCTGTTTTACAAGCAAGCAGCCACTAGCCACCAAAGGCAAGCAGCTATTAGCCACCAGCTGCTTGCAGCCACTAGTCACCAAAGGCAAGAGACCGGCAATCATTAGCCACCAGCAGCAAGCAGCCACTAGGAGCCACCAAGCAGACACTGTCAATGGAGAGCAACCAACAGCCCCCAGCTACAAGCAGCTATTATCTACCTGTGACATGCAACCAGTAGCCTCTACTAACAGACAGCCACTAAGGGTAAGCAACCACTAGAGGTAATTAGCCACTGACCACCAGAAGCAGGTTGCCACTGGCAGTATAACTAATCGGCCACTGACCAATAGTGCCAGGTTGCCGTTAGCAGCCACTGGCCATTCGAGACAGGCAGCCACTAACCACCAGGGGCCAGCAGCCACTTGTGAACATACCTGCTAATTTGATTTTCTAAATCTGACCCTCAACTAATAATGTGATCTCCTCTCTAACTCTAAATAAATGTATTTTACATTGCTATCACTAATAACAGATGAACGGCACACTATCAGTACAGCAATGTAAATCCAGACTTTGCAGCAAGGTACATTTATATGTCATACATGTGTTATATATTTATTTGACTTGGAAAAGAATGCTTTGGGAACATTCACACCGTATGTAACTTATACTTTAACTCATATGGTTCATATTATGGTGAGATTGCAATATGAAATCTCACACATTATAAGAAAACACTATGTCATGAAATTCTAGGCTCCATAGATTAAGGACACATGACATGTGTGAATTGTCATGATTCCCTTTTATTCCCGAAGTTTGGTCCTTAAGGGGTTAAACAGGCGTTTTTACATTCTACCTTGAATAGGACATCTATGGAGAGTCTCACATAGGAGAACGTTTACATATCAGGTCCTGCATGTAAATGTAGACATTTGTGTGATGACCATGAGATGAACTGCTTGCTCCATTGCAGGCTGGCACCTCCCTGTTACATAAGTAGCGAGCGGTGACACTGCAAGGTCTGAAATGTTTAAACACTGCGTGTCTGCCCCACTCTATGTCAACATAACTGAGTAAAGCTAATTTCCTTATACGCACAGCTGCCGTCACAAACTGGTCACTGGGCACTTGCTATCACTCTATTGCATTGTTTAGGTTTGTCATTTCCTATAATCAGTGGAGGATTATTATTTTATGATAGGCACAGTTAATGGACGATTGGATCACTTTACTGTCGTTTACATAAAATAATATATAATATCCTAGGTCTAGAAACAACCTATTAGTAATTATAGTAATATTATAACTGCACGAGGGGTCAATTTACTAGAGAGTGAGTTGCTGTGAGTGGAGGAAAGACTTGATAGTTAATAGTTAAAAAAAATTACTGACTATAGAATGTATCTATGAATGTTTGTCAGGTGGTACCCACTTACATTAAACAATATTTAAACTCCATGAAAAAAGAATGTAAATTAAGAATAACTTTCATACCCAGCTAACATAAGACAATGGGAAAATAAGTTGTCATTTGCAAAATGCAAGTTTTAGAGCAAAACAGAGCTGGAAAAAATGCATCGTTTTCTCTATTTTGGCATAAAATATACAATTTGCCTTATAAATTATCAGCAGTTTTTAGTTTAGTAAATAAGCACTAGCACAGGAATAGGCAACCTTTGGCACTCCAGATGTTTTGGTCTACAACTCCCATGATGCTTTGCCAACATTATGGGTGTAAGAGCATTATGGGGGATGTAGTCCACAACATCTGGAGTGCCGAAGATTGCCTATACCTGCACTAGCATCTTTCCAACCAGTATAAATGTATTATTATTATTAAGATGTTAATTTGTCAAGTAGATTAATATTATTGTACACACGTGAAAATGACACTTGCATATAAAATAGAGTAAACTGAGTTACCAGTGAAGTTATAGGTAATAGCGTTGCTTAAAACGAATTATGCAAAAGAGATCTTGTGACAATAAGAGTTGGTGTTTCTTGCAATGCCAGTTTTACAGCCCCGAGGCATTCTTGCTTTTGTAATACAGAACAAGCTGCCAAAATGCAGGCCTGAGGCAAGTCTGCTCTTATTCTGTTTCATAAGTGATGGAATATCTGGTGCAATCAATGTAGGTACTAAGTATATCTATTTATTTTCCAAATAGCAATTAAAGCAATTCTTTAAATTATCTAAAGAATACAAGCAATGCCGTATGTGTGTGATATTCTTAAATATACTGCAATAAGTGGGAATGACACTGTAACAGTGGGTTAAAAGTCACATGTCTTGCATTGTAGTTTTTGCGCTTGGGTGGTATGAACCCGCCTGTGGATAAACTGGCCTTCACAGACGGGGATAATACCACCCAAACACAAATACTTGGAGGTAGTCGGAAGCTCCAAAAACGTGCAAGCATGTTTTTTTTTTTTAAATTCCCTGCACTTATCACAAGAAAAAACAAAAAACACTATATTTTGTTTTCCTGTTTTCTTATTTTGAATATCATCTGACTGTTACTTGGACAATCAATAGGTGCTGCTATCTTACTACTATCCAACACCATATCCACTACCAGAAAGAAGAGACTCTGGCTTGAGTAGTTTCAGCTGCCTACCTATATTTCTGTTAGCGCTAGAAATCCTATTTGTTTATTTGATTGTTTTCACAAGTGGTCTTACCTGTCCCATCTGGTGTGGATCGCACAAATGTTGGAAGCATCTTCACAGAAGCTGTGGGGTTGGTCTCTGCTCCAAGTCCCTTCTCCATCTGTTTTTCAAACCGGTTTGACACTTCCAGGAGTGTCTCATCTGACAAGCGCATGTGATAGAGATACTTGTCCACCTGGTGGTAAGAGAAAAGGGGGGAAATCTTAAATATGTGACATTTTTTATGGCAGGTTGTCCAAGGGTGTTTCTTTCTCAATTGGTATAAGGACCTAATCACCAAAAATGGACAAAAGCTTCATTGTTTGCTTTTTGAGAAGTCACCACTCAGGAAATCTCAATACAGTTAGAATATCAACCAACGCCCACCAGCAAAGACAGGACAGAACTAAAAGAACACACACGTCTCCTCTGGAAGAGAGACACAGCAATCCAAGATGATTGTTTCAGCCTGTCATTGGCATCATCGGTTGGATATAGCTTATATCCTTGGCCAGTGAGCAAGTAGTCAAGATTTAGAGGTCATATGAAATAAATCAAAAAAACCTGACAATCCACTGGATTCTAGATTGTGAAGGCAGATGAGAACCATTTGGGCTACATTTAAATTTCATATTTGCTACCAATTATCATAATTATCTTTATGTACAGCAATAATCACTAAGCAATTGCCTTGTTCCCATGTCTTTACTTCTACTGAAATCTGTTTCCTGGTATATACAGCTTTTTCATCGAAAAGTAGTTTTTAAAAATGTTCTTATACATTTGTCAGGGAAATATTGCTATATCTGAGGAACTTTAATCTCAATAAGTATTATGTAGTTTCTGCCAAGTATGCAGTTGTGCTTTGTTAGCTATAAAATAGTGCCTTAGTGATCCAGAACCAGAACTCTATCATTCAAAATGACCTGTCATTTCCTAGGAATATAGGATATGCTTGGGAAGGCAGCAGACCTCGGGTCTCGTCCAAGCATACATTTACTGATTGATGTGCAGATTTTAACCAATCTGAACAGCAGAAATCTGAAGGTGGCGTAATATTAAAGTGCGTTATTGAGTGTTATTAAACTGCACTCACTTGAAAAGAATGTCTATCCCAATAGCTTCAGATAACACTGACATTATATAAATGTTACCAAGGTCAGACTAGTAATATCCTGCAACCTTTCATTTCGAACAGAAGTGGGTAACCATAAATTGATGGCTATATTTCTAAATTACTAATAATTTTTAAAGTTAAATTGGAAGTCTTAGGAAAGTTACTATAATTACTAAAGAGATTAATTCCTGGTACCATCCCTGTGAACAGAGGTAATTGCTTATGTCTCCAGGATGTGGCACTGTAAAAAAGCGACTGACCTAATCCTCTAATGTCGTTTTTTTCCATTGCATTAGTATTTTTTTTCAGATAGGCGAGGAAAGTACAATTACCAATAGCTGGTAGCACTAATTAGTTTGTAAGCCTCTGCTGTAAAATATACATGGTGCAGAAATGTACAGTCACGGGTTTCTGATTGGTGGCTTCAGCAGAGATATCATAAGATAATGAAGCATGCTTAGCATGGATTTTAACTGTTAAACCTAGCAATTAAATATATAGCTGCACCCTGCCTAAGCCAAGACACTTGTAGACACTTTGGGTCTACAGCCTTCGACAACCAGACACGTTAACCAGTGTGTTGCCCCATTTTCCATTTATTTTCCTTCACAGAAAGAATAACCTTCCATTCAATATATTTACTATAACATAAGTTGTAGTTCCAATTCTACTGAAAACGTACATAAAATAAGTTCCAGTTCTTGGCAATGTATTTTACTGTGCGCATTAGGCAAGAGAATTAGATTGTAAGTTCTTCATGGCAGTAAAACAACATTCACCCCAGATACCAGATGGATGCCACATTATCCAAACACCATGTTTGTTTTTGTATTGTATAAATATGTGGCTAAAGTGCAAAGGCCATGCAAAAATAACATTTTTTGCACATTAACCCCTTAAGGACCAAACTTCTGGAATAAAAGGGAATCATGACATGTCACACATGTCATGTGTCCTTGAGGGGTTAAAGAGAATAAAAATGAACTTGTGCCTTGTACTGGTCAAACTGATAACAAATATATAGTAAGTATTGTATTCAACAATTAACATTTAACCAGATGCTGTAGGCCAGGGGTGCCCAAAAGATAGATCCCCAGATGTTTTAAATCTACAGCTTCCATGATGCTTAGTCATTCGAAAGCATTTGAAAGGCATGCAAAGCATCATGGGAGTTGTAGTTCTACAATATCTGGAGATCTAACTGTTGGGCACCCCTGCTGTGGGCCAAGAGGTTTAAGCTTTAGTTATCCCAGTGCAGAAACGCCTATGAACTTACACGTTCCCACATTGTTCACACCTCAGTCTCAGAATGATTTGTACACATGAGTTTCTTGGACGGAGAAGTGTGAAATTTGTGAACACCCAGTATGCACTGTGAGAGAATCATACCCTTGTCAGACATATACAGTCAATAAAACAAAAACAAGCTATGTATACCATGTGTCTTATGTGAAGGGGAAATTGCAATCCCACACATTTGAGGATGAGAGGCTCTTTTTAAAAGATAAACAGAGCCCAAATTAAAACATGGATGAATTTATAAAGTAACAATTTTAACTGATTTTTCATCAGTGAAGTTTTGTTAGTGAAGATTTTTCATAGCAATTCAGTTAGAAATACAGTACAGACCCCAGCACCCAAGTCTATCTGAAATATGCTTGCTTTGTATTATTATTTTATTATTATTTATATAGCGCCTGCAAATTCCGTAGCGCTGTACAATGGCTTTAATTAGTACATTTACATGCCACGAAAAAAAAAGTTTTTCTCATTTCCTATATAATAGACTAATGACAATAATCACATGACTTATGGTTATTGAAATGTAAAGTTAACCTAAATTACCTCCCCATCTGATTTATATGGCTGTTACTGCCCCTTTAAGTTCTTTAAATAATAATTGTTCTATTGATGCTATTAAATATATCAAGTAACTGGAAAAACACATTAATTGTTCTTAATGCTGGCACTCCTTATGTAAAACCGGTTAGTTCTCTCGGTATGTGATACAATGCCTGTGAGGATCCTACCCTATTTCTTACAGAATCACATGCTCTGCTTTCATCATAGGAATTTCTCTGCTTAGTACATGGCGTGGCATTTTCTTGTGTCTGTGCTGTTACACTGTAAGTGAGTCATGCAGTTTCCTCGCATAGCATCGTGTCTGGTTTCAATACCCCTTGCAACGTGCAGGAAGGGGCGTAAGAACTTCTCTGACTGTAAATGGCCTTCTCGAAATTAGGAAATACATTTCAGTTATTTGTAAGGGGCCAGTGATTTCCCCACATCTTTTACAGTGTATTGATTTTAACTGTGGCTCACTGTCATCCTTTCTTCCTCTTCTGCCTTCTTACCAATAATGCAAATTCCCATTCTGGTTTATAGTTTAAACTCCCTAAACTGCCTGTAAAGTTTGTATTTTTATATCCCACATCATATCACCAATCCTTTTCAAGGACTATTAAATCATACATACCAAGTGTCCCTATTTAGGAGGTACAGTCCCTATTTTAGGCCCAAATCTCTCTGTCCCTCTTTTCTATCCTAATGTCCCTCTTTTCTCAGAGCTCAGTATTATTGGTCAATGTATACCAGAGCTTCACAGATATAATACTCACAGAAATGTGTCTTTATAGTAAAATAATTGTGTTTAGATGTGCTTACATTTTAGTTGCATGAATTGTCATTAGTAAGTCATTTAAATGTCTCAGAAAAGCCCTGCCCCGGGCCAAACACCAACTCACACCACTAATATTACTGTGCCTCTCTTTGACCATTTGAAATGCTGGGCGGCATGTTAATTAATCCTAACAATCTCCAATCTTCCATCCTTGTGGTAAATGCTTGCAATAATACACTCTGTGTTAACCAGGAAACGTTATACTTTGACTTTGTTATGCTTTAGTGTATTATCGCCCATAAATATTTTAGTGGTAATGTTTTTTGTGTGACTGACTTTTTATTTACCAAACAATTATGATTGTTTAATTGTATTATATGGACGGACCTTTAAATTATAAATATCTCTGGGTAAAAGCTAATCAAACTGAGCCATAAACAAATTGCGATACACAACTGATGTAGGAAAAGGAGCTGAATATTAAAAATCTCATGATCACCTAATGTCTACAGATAAAATAAATATCATGGAAAAAATCTAATTTAATCACCACTATTAGTGCTGCACATCATCTTAAAACAGCACAGTTTACATGGCGTTGTATCATTATGTGAAGATTTCTTGGAAAATTATACCATAAGTCTCTCTTATCCTGATCGCCTAGGCTTTGTAATTTACTTGTTAGCTTAGTTCCATAATTGGGGCACAGTCTTCCATTAGTGTGTAAGTAACTCTGTACGGATACAACTATTAGTTTTCCAGATTATAAACTACAGGGTCAGTTTTCTCATAATAATAATAATAATAATTGAATGTCAACGTTTTGAGATGTGGTTTTCATAACACCAGTAGATTGTAAACTCAGATAAGCCAATACTCCAGTGTCATTAAGAATACACATTTCCTAACGACATTATTTTTAAGACTTCCTCCTATACCATTTAGATCAATACATTGATCAAATGAGTTGCTTGGGTTTTACACACACAACGTAAAATGAATGGTGCTCTCAGGATATCACAGGAAGCTGACTAAGGACTAGATCTGCAAGCTAGAAATACAATCTTTAGATCTTTCATAGAAAGTGTTCACCACATAAAAGATGGGCAGTTTTTTTCTATGATCACATATCTAATTGCAAAGTAACATTAATGTAGATAAAGTGCCTTGCAAATAAATACAGTTATGGAAATCTGATAATTATACTTGTCAGTGACTTAGATCAGATTAACGATACAACTTATTCGGTATATCATAGTCCCTTTTTTTGTAACCTTTTATTGGATAAAGGCCTCTCTGCCTTCACTGCTAAACACCTTCAGGCAATGTTTTCATTCATAAAATAACGCTCTGCTTATAGATTTCAGCAATATGGTCAAGGTTTTTTGGGGCACGCTCATTGGTTACATCTATGGATTACAAGTATCTCAATGATGAGCCACTGCAGCACTGTAATATTGGTACCTACTACCTGAGATCAATTACAAATTGTATTAACTAAAAGGTAAAGCAGAAATATGTGTAAATGCCGGCCAATCAGAATGAAGCTGAACAACAGCGTACAACAAATGCAGAAATATAACTGCAATTGCGTACCTATCCAAATACTAACCTCACTATAAAATAACACACACACCAGAAATCACATTCATACATATTCACGCCAACACACCCGTGCTAATACTGAACATTGCTATACCACGGTAGAGAAAAACTAATACAGAAATCAAATAATTACTATACTTCTCTATACATCCATCAGGATTACAGTTAAAATATAATAAATGTTTTGAAAGCTAGACTGTGCACGTGATCTGTTCATTAAGATGATTTGCCTTTTTCTACTACGTTTCAGCTATTTATGTGTTTCTGGTTTAATTAATTAATTCTGTGCTTTATCAGATATAGATATACAGAGAAGTTTCATTATAGCTGGGGAAAGACCGTATGGGGGAGAAGCAGGGTTAATGAGAAACTGAAACTCCATCAATGAAGTGTTGCTGAGCTGTAATTGAACTCCACCTCCGCATGTTACAGACTGCTGGGGTGTTCAAAGTTCCAGAAAAAAAAAAAAGAGATGATGATGTCAGGAAGTGGAACGTGATTAAACGCAGGTTTATCGCTGCCCCTGAAGCTGGAAGCGTGACCTGGATTCCAACCAATTGCAGCAGAGATCTATGGATGCTTATACACTTTAGTTAATAAAAGACACTATCACATCACATTGCTCTGCAAGACTGCATCTCGGGGAACAAAAATGGCTGCTAACTAAATATTCACTGCATTATTTACACTATAAAATGACCTGGAGCAGGGGTGCTCAAAAGGTAGCCCACCAGATGTTGCAGAACTACAACTCCCATGATGCTTTACATGCCTTCAGAATGGCAAAGCATCATGGAAGCTGTAGTTTTAAAACATCTACCTTTTGCGAACCCTGGTCTAGAGTTTGTCAGTATCCCCACTTGAACAGAATTGCCCTAACGTTCGGGCTATTCATGTGCATTGAGTATACCAGGACTGATGTATAGCACAAGTGGCAAGAAGGTAGCCCTCTAGCTGTGTGTGACTACAAATCCCATGATTCCCACCTTCCTAACAATTTGCTGAACATTACCGAGGTTGCAGTTATTTAGCAGTTGGTAATTGTGTGGTCTATTCACTACATGCCTAACAGGAGCCAAATGCTGTTCAGTTGTAACAATTTGTCTGTTTTAACCTATTTGGCTATTCACAAAAGGACTATTCAGCTCTTTCAATCCCCTTCCCCTCCCCATTAACCTACTAAGGATACCCCCAAATTAAATCCAAAAAGCTACTCTTATATTAGCAGAATTCTATTTGTGGCAGGGAAATACAATAAAAACGTGGCTGCACTTTGGAATTAGGTTGAGCTTTTTGAAATGAATCTCCCTGAGAGAACACAATTGAAATGAAACACTTTTGGCTCTGTTTGATTAGCATTCAGTAGTGAATACAGTTAACCACAGAGCAATGTTTAACAACCAAATGCAGGAGAATTACGCCAAATGAAATAAGCTGAATTTGCAATTGCAAATTCAGCATTTAGTGAAACAACCCTTGTCTGTTGCCCCATTCCCCTCATTCACTCAAGCACTATTAAGCCAAGAACACCTTTAGCATAGATGTAATAAGTCAGTAAAGTAGCAGAATTACTAATCACAATTCATAATTAATGCCGGGGGTCAGAATGAAGATCCCAGCCATTGAAGAACTACAGCACCCATGATACTGCTTCACTGCAACTGTAGTCTAACCACAGCTGGGGGTTAATCTTTTATATATTCTTTATCGATCCCATTCTGACAGTGCACCCCTATTGATTTAGTTTAATCAAATAACAATGTGGATGGGTAAACTGACAAACCAACTTGCAAAATTTAGGCCAAAATAATCCTAATGGAAAAAAATGACTAACAAATGACCTGTTGGATTTTTATATTATATTACTTTCACTGATATTGTTTAACTAAATTATAATAACTCACCACAACTTCTTATTTAGTGATTAAACCTACCTATATACTAATTGTCTAACCACAACGTATTTCAGGAGACAAAAATACACAGATTCCATTAAAAGGAGCAAACAACTAAAACGTCTTTTCTGAATTCTTAGTTTTGTGAACATGCCACTGCACCGTGGCAGGAATAAATAATGATTTCCTCATGATATTGTAGCAATTTGTCAGTTGCAAGGGTCTTGATGGACCACACATCCAGCTGGAGGGAGGAGACAGGTGGCTGTAAAACACTGTGTATTGCCCCCCACCCCCCTCTAGTGTTGCTTAGCAGTGCAAAGGTTAAGAGCTGGTGATCAGCAATGCCTGAAATGGACCATTCTTAATCTGAATCACTCTGACAAATCACCATATGAGTAAGAAAAATCTACTTCCTTGCACCAAAGGAACGTGAGGCTAAGCACACTGTAGGATGCAAGAAGAGATTGTAGAACATAGCACAGAAATAACAATTAGTAAGTAACAATTGATGCATTGGGTTTTTCTGCATAGCATACTAAATATGAAAAATGAAATAACAGAAATAGAAAAGGTAGAACAAACCATGATAACCACGATCAGGCCTATTCAGTGAGGTTTTTTGTTTTTTTGCCAAAAATGTTCTAAATTTCATAGAATTTCATGCTAAACGTAACCTATTGCTTTATGGTACCGATTCATATTTTCTCCATCTTCTCATTATTTAATCCAAACAACACCCCGTAATTAGACCCCATTGACTGAAGTACATAATGTGCAGTACTTCGCTCCATATAAGTCTTCCTTTCACTCCCTTTGCAAGCTCTAATTGGATGCCCGCACTTTAATGTGGATGATGCATCTGAACAAGGTCATTCTGTCTCTGTATTGCCCTATTCCAGAAGGTAAGCAATCTGGCCACTTGGACTAAAATAACCAAATTGCTTCTTTTTCCTCATTTGCCATCCTCCACAAATTCTTTAGGCCTACTGCTTAGCAACCTTCACTATCGATCCTACACAAGTCTCACAATCGCAGTCAATGGCACAAAAACCTTTCAATCAGACAATACAAACACAGACAGAGCAATTACTGAGAACCAAGGATGCGGGTGTCTTATAGTAGAGGGGGCTTTATAATGAGGCTATATTAAGTTATGCCATTCAGAAATTTAACGAATGTACATTTGAAACTCAAATATGAAGCAATAATTCCACACTAAACAAATAGATCAGGATAAAGTATGTTATGATTTCAATATTTTTTGTAGCTGACCTTTAAAGTGAATGCAGGGATAACAAACCGGAGTGGGAGTTTGAGAATTGGTGAAGGGACAGAGTCTTGAAGAATGAGATCTTGGAGGGAGTCGCAATGTGCTTTACCTGCCTGTTTCATCTGATGGTTTATTTGTGCTTATGTGGAATGTCATTCATTGGAATTTCAAATGAACTTCAGAAACAAATGTCACTGGGAAGAATAATGTGAAAGAAACGATTTCCCTTTAATAAAACATGCTTCCTGTTACAGCCATATTTCATAAACCAGCTTGAACAAACCAGTAGAAAGATAATACAAGACAACTGATATAAATATAATATATATAAATATATATATATATATATATATATATATAACAGCTGCTCCATTCAGCGTGAGCCATTCACATTCAGTAAGCAAAGAATGAATTCAAGGACATCTTTCTTTAGAGGTCACAATTCAGGAAGGCCACTAATTTTAGAAATGCGGCATTTAGAATGACCTGGACATGCTTTCAGAGTCGGTTTCTCTTGCCGAAGACCACAGAAGCGTAAAGGTCATTTTGACTCAGTAAAGGCTGCATCAGTCCCTAATTGTCCCTTCACTGTGTGTGACACTAAGCGTGGATCTTAATGCTGGTTTTTGGGGAGGGTCTCTCACGCACAACGTAACTCACTAAAGGATGCAGATAGTGAGAGAAGGTGATGTCATTCATTAAACATGTATCATTTTTTTTTTGAAACATGCACTCCTTTACAAGAAATGTAAGTAAACCCACTCAAATTTTATTAAGTACATTTCACGCAAGACGTCACCTTGCGCATGCAAACTCTTTTAGATACTAAAAACATTCATGCTTAATTAAAGTGAGTAATTTCAATGAAGGCACCTTGTTAATTCTAACATTAAGTAGCAACAAAGTTTGAAATTACAGGGTTATTCACTAAAGTGTTAACTGTTGGGATTCAAAGTGAATTTCAAAATGTGGGCCAAAAAATTTTAACAGCTGAAAGGTACCGTACAAACAGGACGGGGGTGTGGGGGCACATGCCCCTGGGTGATAGACTTCTCAATTTGTCCCAGATTGTAGCTCGACCAAGGAAGAGACTCTTCATGTTCTTCTGCTCAAGTACACCATGGCTGCAGTCGCCAAGCGGCATTGTGAGTAAGGAGTTGTGGAAGGGATTGAAGATCATATCCTATCCATTAACCTAGCATGCTGTCCAATCGGGAAACTGAAGGTGACCTGACAAACCCGAGAAACATGAGGATCCTCTCTCAAAGTCCTGTTTGGCCACATTACAAGTTTGGACTGTAACTGTTGAGGTGAGGGTAAGGCGAGACACACAATGGATGAATTGCAATAGACACAAAAGGAGATGATGCTTTATGGAGAATCACAAGTAAGCAGGTGGAGCAAAGACAGTCATAATAGGTGGTTTCTAGCCTTAGAAACCACACAGGAGCTTGGAGGTGAACTGACAAACCAGGTAGACTAAGGGTGAGGTTGTGAGAAGAAACACCAGGGGGAATGTGGGGTAACGACTGATAAAGTAGGTGCTGAGGGGGGTAAGAAAAGACACAAGAAAGGGGAGACAAGCAAAGGAGTTAAGAAGAGACAAACAGACAATTCTGTCCTGGGTGCCAAATACCATAGGTTTGCTTCTGTAGGCAAATGAGCATTATACAATTTTTCCTATAGTAGCTTAAGATTTTTAACTCATTTTGAATCCCCACCAATTCATACTTTAGTGTATAACTTTGTCAGTACCATAGATAAGCAGAAACTAGCAAATTAGCAAACAAAATTGCGAATATAAAGGCTTTTGAGACAGGGTCACAAATCAATCTTTAAGGACAGTATACACTTTGTATGCCTCAAGCTGAAAAATAATATCTAAAATCATTAAATCTAAACTCTATCACTATCTCTCTCTCTATGTATACACACGCTTTCCAATAGGAATGGGTGCAATACCCCCCTAAACACACACACTCTCTCTCTCTCTCTCTTTTTCATTAGAGAGAACAACACATGTCTAGTGAATAAAATAGCATTGTAATTGTATAATAATTTTATTTATTATCAATAAACACGTAGCTGTAATGGTATGTAATTTTGATCAGAGTAAATACACACATTTATATACATATACATGTAACGTTCATACTATAATAAAAGAAAGGTTAAACAGTATTTTAATACACATTATTATTCGCTTACCTTCTGTACTTGATCATGATTGAGTTCGGTGAAGAAATAGGCTAATAAATGGGAAGCTATCATGACTATAAATTAATTGGATGAATTAATAAATTATTAAGTATGTCTCTAACAATGACCAGTTAAACTTTCTCCTCCTGGCAGTGTCCTCTTTCTCCCCTCTGTCTCTGAGCAGTACCGGCTTTTTTCCCTCTATCTTCTCTCTGTTTTACAATGTGGTCCATTGAGTGATGCCTCCCATCACTGCCAAGCCCCCATTGATGTCACTGCATCCTGCACCCCCGCCTATTTTAACCCGTCCCTGGTTTCTCTTATGCAACCTCCAGTAACTCCTTCATACATTGCGAGCGGCTCACACACTGCATTAATGAGATGCGTTTAGCATGAAGCCAGCCAGGCTGATGAATTGCAACTTCACACGAAAGTAGCCCTTCCAATAAAATAGAGTCCGCCTTCCTGTAGTGGACATAAACTTTAAAGTGTATTATTTTAATTAATCATTGTGGGGAAAAGAAAACTTACAAAGAATAAAACTAACACTACAACACTACAATCACACAAAATAAAACACATATTTTATTGCATAGCGATACAGGTTTAACCACTGTTAATATTATTAAAACAGTCACGATCGAATTCTGTGTATTACTATTCATTCTAAGAACGTTGTCGCGAGCATGGTAATAAGGGTTAACTTCAGCGCTCAGCCGGCACGGGTTTCTATTGGCTACAGATAGGGGGTGTGTGAGGGAAGGGCAGCAATCAGCCAATGGGGGAATGTGGGCGTGTCTACGAGCCTCTAGTTCACTGCCAAAGTCAAGCTCGCCTGACACCACGTGGGCTGTTCTGCCATGCCGAGGGGGTGACAGGACCCCCCTGCCACGTGGTCATGTGATGCGATGCAATGCAGTCTGCAATAGGCAGGCTTTGATGGGAAGCACGTTTATAATGATGCTCAAGTAAGCAAGCGGCTGGCTGAGCATCCTGTGAAGAATAGCCCACAGCAGCTGGAGGCCAGTCACTTCAAAGTTCAAGTGCGGCACCATGCTCAGTGTAGGAAGCCAGTGGTCATTTTCAGAGATTGCGTGTGGGTTGTCTAAGGGGGAGGGGTGGGGGGGATTAGGTTTCATTGATTCTTCCTAGCCCTCGGCCAATTAGTAATAGTTGTGGGAAGTGCAGGCATATAAATATACAATAAATGTAGAATTACACTTCTGGCAATGGCCAGCATAGCAAAGCTTTCCAAAGTACCCGCTACTTGAAACAAGCAACTGATTGCTCTGATTATTAAGGTGACACTATAGGCACCCAGACCACTTCATCTCATTCAAGTGGTCTGTGTGCAGTGTCCCTGCCCCCCTTAGTCCAGACAGCAACTAGAGGTGCTTCCTGCTGTTTCATATAGTTTGACCCATGAAACGACGCTGGATGTTCCCATGCAAAGTGTCCAGTGTTCACAAAATCCCCGTAGGAAAGCATTGAGGAGGCCTAATGTGCGTTCCCCTTCGTGCTGACACCTGAGGAGGCGGAGACAGAGCCATAGTTGAGGGTCCTCAATGCTGGAATCAGGGGAGTAAAAGAAAGGTTTATTTAACCCTTTTGAGGAGGGGGGAGAGAGAGGAACTCTTTAGTGTTAGGAATACAGCTTTGTCTTTAAGGAATAGCTGAATGGTTATGACCTATAGAATGGATACTAACAGGTTTATTCAGTAAAGTAAGAATTTAAGGTTAATTGAAAGTGAATTTCAGTTTGGCTACTCTGGTCTTAAATTTAAAATACACTTTGAATTCTCTCTTTAATGAATAACCATAATAATTTTACTCATGTTGAAATATAATTTATAAAGAATCAACTTGGGAGGAATTAGGTGCCCCAGATGCAAGTCAACTGCAACTTCTCATTCAACACATTTTAAATAAGTGTACTGGTCCAGTATCGCTGAAGTAATTCGATTACACTACCCCTATATTGATAGTTGCCCTCTGTAAACATATCTCTGATAGATTTGACAGTTCTGCTGTTTAAAAAAAACCCATGCAGTTATAAATTTCACACTGAAGGGCAGCAAACCTGGAACTTGTACAAAATGTAAACGAAGTCGTAAGAACGGAAAATGGTCAGTAAGTTGGGAGTGCTTGTAGTTATTATAGTGGAAGCGGTCTTTATCAGGTTTAGGTAGTATGGCATTTGTGTGGTATTTGAGTGTTTCTGTGGAGCAGATAGCGTATGAACACTGACAAATTAATTCCACATTTTAGTGATATAGGCTAAAAGGTGTCTTTGAAATGTTTATAGTAAGAAACATTGACGCCAAGGATATGTTTGTGCAAATACTGAAGGGGGAATCTGTCTTGTGGTATGAAATAATGAAAATGTAAATAAAGTCCAAGGCAAAGAAAATCAGAAAGGTCAAGGCAGTCCAAAGGTCATAAATTTAGGCAGCGGTTCGAGCACCAAGTGATCAGCGGAACAGCAAGGGGACACGGGTAAAACGTGACAGAATCATTAATACTAGGGGGAATAAGAGGGAGTTTTAATATTACAACAATTCTCATGGTAGGATCTGAAGGTGTCTGCTATGATGTGAGCTGAATTAATCCAACAACTGAACATAGCAAATGCGTCCAATCAGAGGAAAGTCCTGACCACACGCCCAACTCTAATTTAACCACCTTAACATTAACCATACATTTTCCATCTCCTTGTGCTGTAGAACACCTTGCAATACCTAGTTGAGCAGACTGCTTCAGCAAGTATCTCTGCGCGTGCCTTAATGGCCACGTAATAGCCCACATTTGCACGACACTTCCATTACCGAACTGGCTAATATATGGATAAACTGATTTAATGATAGTTCAGATTCTCACTAGTATGAGAAAGGACATGCAATTACCCAGGAAGTATGACCTGACAAACAACTTGGGCCATTATCACCATAGGAGGTAATGTGACGTAATAACACAGATAAACCACATACAGAAAACATAGTTCTGAATACACAAACAGTAAACTGAAGCAACCTCACCTTAACTGAGCTGATAATGGTATGAAATGCCATGTGCTTTATTTATAGAACCTGCAGTGCAGTTATCTCACTATAATTAAAGCATTTAAAGGAACTCTAAAGTGACAGGAATACAAATATGATGATAGCAACCAATCAAATGCTTTCCTGTAGGAAAGCATTGGTCGGCTATTGTGCATGCGCCGAAAAAATCTGCGCTGTGCCAATTAGTATCTCCTCCTAGAGATGCATTGATTCAATGCTGAGCGTGGAGACACTGAACATCAAACCCAGGAAACACCTCTAGTGCCCGTCTGAGTGACTGCCCTAGAGGTGTTACTAGGCAGTAAGGCAAACACTGCCTTTTCTCTGAAAAGGCAGTGTTTACATTAAAAAATTCCTGAAGGGACTAACTATACTCACCAGAACAACTACAGTAAGCTGTAGTTGTACGGCGACTATCAGATCTCTTCAATCTGCAATAATGTTATGCAGATACAAAGGCTAACTGTTTACAGGTACATTCTATATATTTCAAGGTGTTATATTTAAAAAACACTATTTACACAGAGAAATATAGATATAGAGGAATATAGTTTTCATATCATAAAATTGGGAAAGTTTCCAGTCATATGATTTAATTCAAGTCGTGTATGAGCTATGTATATGTGTGTTTATTGTTTCTATTCTTCTGCCATAAATATGTATATTTTTAAATCTAGCATTCATTGTTTCCTAATTGAAAAACATATATTTTCTTTTTCATTATTCTGGATCACCTTATTACTTAATATAAAATATATATATTTTTTTTAATTACATTAGGATGTTATCTGTGTATGTACTTTGTTCTATATTTAAAGTTTTATTCCTCTATGTGATCTGCTGGAAATATTAAAATAAAACTGCCTACAACAGAGAAAAACATATATTCAGATATATAGAGAGAGCGAGACAGAGAGTCAGCTGCTAAATGTACATTTTATAATTAAAATAAGCCGAATAGATGTAAAAGAATATCAGAGCTTCTACCCATCCCTAGGATTTCTGTTTTTGCAGTATATCTTTGTGGGTCATTTGCACCCCAGTGCATGTTCCCCCGTGTTAAGCGTCACATACAGGGGGTTATTTATGAAGAGCAGTTTTTGGGGCAATGTTTAAATGGACATTATAGTCACCCAACCCACTTCAGCTCATTAAAGTGGTCTGGATGCACTGTCCCAATCCTCTTAACCCTGCAATTGTAATCATTGCATAAACTGCAATAATTACCTTGCAGGGTTTATTCCACCTCTAGCGGCTGTTTATTACGCATGAGCATTAGGTCCCCCCTGCCGGCTGAAAGTGGCGGAGGAGGGGCAGAGGCTGAGCCTGACCAACTTCAGAGGGCGCTAGATTTAGGTAAGTGACAGAAGTGTTTTTAACCCTTCCATGGCCACGAGGGGAGGGGGGCGTGAAGAAGGTGGGCATTGTGACGAGATTATTCGGCGATTCCAGGGATATTTCTGCTTATGGAATATTGAGTGCTTTTCTTTTATGGGAAGAAGGGAATGCTTGACGGGGATATTTTCTACTACCGTCACATTTGGTGGCAGCGGCGGGATGGCGTCCTAGTGCGAGGACCAGCAGCTCGGAGACACCGGTAACGTGTGGAGTTACGGATTTATAATTGAGGGCAATGCTAGCCTCTGCGCAGCGTCCCTACCTACAGCAACATGGAGCTAGCAAGACCCTGGACAGCAGCCAGTGAATTGCAAATCCGCCTGTCACAGTGCTATGAGGGTGCTGATTTCATGAAGGAAGTAAAGGCGCGGCTGGTCTGGTTTGGCCCAAACCCTTCAGATGAGGTGGTCCATCAAGTGATGCGCATGTTGAGTGCTGAGAACCAAGACGCACGGAACTTCGAGTACCAACTGTGGAGTTTGGGGGTATTGACACCCCGTCTCCAGCGACAGAGTGAGTTACAGGGAGAGGAGAGCAGCGACCTCCCATCCCAGCGGCAGTGCACCGTACAGAGGGAAGAGACAAACGGTCTCTCTCCCCAGCGGCGGCCTGAGTTCCAGTAGGAGGTGATGGTCGATCCCTCCACCTTACAGCAACCAGCGTTCTGGGGAGTGGGGGCAACCAGCCTCCCCCTCCAACAGCAGCCAGAGATACCGGGAGAGGGGGAAAACAAACCTAACCACACTGGCGCAGATGGGACCG